AGACTTGACATGGCCTTTACTAGGATACGAAAAGCTTTTTTTTTTTTAAGCAACAAGCCCCGGTAAAAGCTAGTTTTTCCCAGAATAATGTATTAATTAATCCTTTTAGCAGCACTGTTTAATCAAATGCATATCTTGCTGCTGTGGATTGTTCCATATTGAATATTTAACATAGGAAAATCACCTTATACAAGTCAGACTCCTGGACCAGCATGTAGTTACTATTGCCTGTACTAACGCCAGTCTTTCTCAGTTTTTAATATGCCAGAGATTGAACCTGGGAACCTCTGCATACAAAACATGTTCTCTACCATTGGACTACAGCCCTTCCCTTAAGGACATCTAACTGTTTAGAAGCTTAGTTTTTGGAAAATGTCTGAAATTTTAGCATGAAACTCAAATATCTGGTCATCACAGTGTTTCTGCTGTCTCCTTCAAAATATACTGGCAGATGCCTAACACAAGACATTAATATCCTTGATTTATCTTTTCCACTTTTTCAAATGTTTTTCCTTCACTCACATTTTCTTTTGCCATATATCTTAAGAGACCCTTCCTACATGATGGCTTTCACTTAGGCAAATTTTAATATGCCTGTATACTCTGTTTTGTATGAAATGACACAGATGTAAAGCGTGTCACTAAAATATATGCAAACAGAGGTGTGACCTTTTCTCATTCACTGCTCACATTTATTTTAAATGCAAAAATAGGGAATTATATATGTGGACACGTACTGTACACCATGTCAGGTCAGCATGCAACGAAATGTAACACTTTCCTTAAAAGCAATATTTTATCATCCTACTCTCTTCCTTCTTCCCAAATAGATTGCCAAAACTCACCTCCACCCTGAAAAAATACCCAACTTTTCTGGTAGAATGAAGCTTTGGGTGGAACCATATGGAAGCCCATAGTTCATTCATGAGTAAAGGTGGAAATTTATTAACTGTGCTGCTCTTTTCTGAAGCAATAATATTTCTAGGGCTTCCCACTTTGCACTGTCAGTTGCTGAAGTGGATACAGGTAAAGTAATTTTGCAGTAATATAGTGGGTTGTACATCATTATACAATAAAACCAAGCGTAGGAGATTGTAAACCCATTGTCTCAAATTTCTAGTGTAAAGCTTTTCACTGGAGCTGATTGAAAAAACTACCTTTTCCCTTTCATTAGTTTTCTGGTGCTGGTGTCTTTCCCTTCATTGAGAGCTAGTGTGAAATCCTGGTTAGTTTTTTGAGCTTAGATTCAAGAAGCTCTAGTTTGAATACCCACAAGCCACAAAACTCACTGAGTGACATTGGGGCGGCCAGTGCATAAAATGTGACAAGCCTATTGATGTATGCCACCCTGAGCTTCCTGGAGGAAAGTGGAACAGTACTTCATCATTTGCTCCTTGATACCATGCACTTTCAGGTGACTAGTTTTGTGCAGTTGAACGGTTTCTGAGGATTTCAGTGGGAAAGGGTAGGAGACACTTGCTGGCTATGCATGTAATGAAGTCAGTAGAAGTGGTATATGTACAGAAGTGGAGCCCCTAACATAAGCCTTGGCCTGTAGGAGAGCTAATGCCATCTGAAATTTTGTGAGTCAAGCATGTGTCTAATTAGGTAGAAATGATTTTTAAATTTAGCCAGGAACTGTTTGACATGGAACGGTAGGCCGAAATGTTTTGGTAATTTTGAGTTGTGTTTTAGAAATGCTGAATGAAATGCTTCTTCATTAACTAAAATGTCGTGTGTGTACATGCGTTCAAAACAAATGGATGAATTGACTGAGCAGTGCTTTTTTACATTTGAACTATGACTGCCATAGGGAGAGCCAAGAGTTCAGCACTCCTGAAGTCTTTCCACATTGAACTACCACTGTACCTATCCAGTGCTTGGGTTGCAAGGAGGCTCCTTCCCCAAATTATACTGAATTTTTGCTAGTCTTATCCTGTAGGCAGGTTAATATTGCTGAATATCTAGTCAGTTTCTCTCTTGCTCTCTCCTTGCCTTCCAAGTGTCTTCCATTTCCCTTGTATTGAACAACCCTAGGGTGTGTAGCCATGAACACAATTCATGATTAAGTACTTTTTAATTAACGTTTAGAATTCATACCAAAAACCGACAAAATCTTGCTTGCATTAGTGCGGCTAGGTAATTACAGTGGATGCTCGGGTTGCAAACGTGATCTGTGCAGGATGCACGTTTGCAATCTGCAGTGGCGCGTCTGCGCACGCGTGGGTTGCAATTTGGGGCTTCTGCACAAAGCGTGATTTAGTGCTTCTGTGCATGTGCGACCGCCGAAACCCAGAAGTAACCTGTTCTGGTACTTCTGGGTTTTGGCGGTCTGCAACCCAAAAAAACACACATCCTGAAGCGTCTGTAACCCGAGGTATGTCTACAGAGCTTGGACCTAATGTTGTTATTTCCCCCCTCCCCCCTCCAGATACTGTGGGCAAGAGTTTTTTAACCAGCCCAGGGTAGTCAGCAATTTGTAGGACTACAGCTACCTTCCCCTCTGAGCACTGGCCATACTGGCAGACAGATGGAAGTTGGAACCCAACACTGTCTGGCGGGACACATATCCCCCTCCCTCGTCTCACTGTATAGGTCTCCAGTGTTACGTTAGTAGCTAAAGAGTAGGGTATGAATGAAGGTGATGTGGGAACTCCCATTAGATGCTTTTAAAAATAATCCATGCTAGTTGAGTTGCAACTTCAAATGTGTTTTGTGCTGTGGGCATACTCTTGACTTTCTTGCAATTGGAGATCAGTTAGATATTGGTCTTCCAACTGGTGCTGTGGGACTCATAAATGGATTATATCTCAATCTAAAATCTGAGGATTTTTTTTTTTGCATCTCCCTTCCTCCCAGTGTGGATCCTGTGTTGTGTGTTGGGATTAAAGGTGGTTTCTGGGTCTAAGAGAATGTTGAAGGTGTTTCTATTATAAACAAGCATAACAAAGTTGCTTTTTGGTGAAACTGTTGCATTCTAGTAGGTTATTTGTGTGGATACAAATTCTACAGGGTCCTAGGATTGACAATTTCCTCTGAGGTAGCAAACCCATAATCTCTTACAACTGTAGCATAGTACTGTAATAGAAATGAAGTGATCAAAGCAACTTGATATTTAAATGCTATGTTGCGAAATCTGCAACTCCCATCAATTCGTCCCTGATCATTGATTATGCTTTGGGGGCTGATGGGAGTTGGAGTCCAATAATATCAGGCTGTGTGTGCATGTGTGCCACAAGTTTTCTACCCACCTACCCTGGCTGTGACATATAGTGGCAGATTTCGTGATTTGGTTTATATTTGTAGTGCTGCACATTCATTATAATAGCACCAGTCTTCTGAAGTAACAAATTGTTACTGTTGGCTTTTGGCAACAGTTAGAAACTTTAGAAATAGGTTGTGAATTTGGTGGGTGACATATTGAATGACTTTATATTGTCATCTTAAAAACCGCTGTCAAAATCGCAACACTCAGAATTGGGTAGTGTAACTCTTGTTCCAGATAGCAGCTTACTAAAAAAATCCCACATGTCTGGCCTTTGATACTTGGAGTACTTGAGGTAGTATGCGCTATGAGTCTGAAGTAGTGCTGGATAATTAGAATATTGGTCATTGTGTAAAGTAATGTCTTGTTGGAGCCATTTCTGTCCATGGGTGCTAGAACCAGTGATGTTGCTTAGCTTTGCAACTGGGATGGAGTAGGCTTTAGAAATAAAATAAGCGTTTATGACATGAGTCAAACTACCATTTGTATTTCAGCTGGGCACATAAATAAACAAATGCCATTTTCAAGGCTCCCTGCCCTGTGTCACTCTCCCTCCCCAAACCTTACCTTCTAGCAGCAGTAGTGCTTGGGGCCTGGCAACCTACAGTTCTAAGGAACTTCCTGTTTGTAAGTCTTCCTCGCCTTATGAAGTCCTCTCGCTTAACAGATCCCTGTTGCTGAGTGTAAGTTGTAGTGTTAGAAAGGCACTAGGCGCATTTTGCAACTAGTGTGGGTCCAATTGTGACGACATGGAGATCTTCGGATGCCAGATTGGCAACTGGGGAAAGCAAAATGGAACTTAGAGAAGAATCTGAAATATTTTCTTTGAAGCTTGAATTTGTTTTATTCTGGGTTGTTTTATCTGATGTTTTAATGTGTTGTAAACTGCTTTGAGATTTGTTATTTAAAATATAAAGCAGTGTAGAAATTATGATGATGCTAACAACAACAAATTCCATTGGGAGGGCAGGGATGGCACCTAGACATTCCATTGTGGAGACTATAACCTAGGTTTAAGGTGCCATTTGGCGATTAGATTATATGCCTGGTTTTTGAACACTGGCAAGTTGTGTTGTTTTTAGGAAGCAGGTAGGTGTAGCTAGCAAAATATGGTGGAGGAAATTCAGCTGCAGAGAAGTCTGGGGATAGTGAAGGATCTGCAGTTCTCTTCGTCTTTAAGAGCTTTGTTCTTCTAAAACCCTTGATTACTTAAGATTTCTTTTAGGAGGAAACATAGGCACACTGTAATCAAAAGCAAGGTGTCTGTGTTTTTTTAATGTAACTTTAAAACTTGTTTTTACTTGCCAGGGTGGCTAACCTGTGACCCTCTCCCTATTGTTGGGCTCCCATCATCCCCAGCCAGCATGACCAGGCAGTCAGGCATGATGGGAGTTGTAGTCCAGCAATATTAGCAAGGCTACAATTTTCCCACCACTACCATAAACAGAGGTTCACCCATTTGTGACACTGCACTTGTGTTGCGACTCTGAGACACTGATTACCTCCAGAGCTTAGCATCGTGTCAAATCATGTCCGCCAACGTCCGCTGTGGCAATGGAACCCCTGTGCAAAAAATTTCTCGACTGTACGGCCCAGAGCTCCTTGGAGGAAGGGGGATGTAAATGTGTATTGGAGCTTTGGTGCCTACGCATGTTCGACTTCCAGTTCTTCATGGGCATGCCTCTGTTTTGCTGCTCATTAACTTCTACCATGACATTTCCCCCCCTTTTTCTAGAATCCAGCAACTATCACCAGGATACTCCTTAGTCATTTCAACTGGGATAAAGAAAAGCTGATGGAAAGGTAAGCAAACTGCTTTTCTCCTTCTGGAAAGTGTTCTGGTAACCTGGTAGGTTTAGTATTTCAGTTATCTAAACTTGGCTGCAGATTAGCATTCACAATGATTTTCAGATTTTTGTGAGAGCAAGTTCTCTTAGTGAAGAAAATGGTGTTCAAGCCACCCTGAGTATGTAAGTGCTTCATTCTATCTAGACAGTCACCAGTTGCCTATGTTAGAGGCAATCAGATGGCTGAATGCGAGACTTGCTGTGTTTTAAGGTTGTGGTGGCAGAGTGGAGGGGACAAGGGTGGGGTCAGGGAGAAGCCTCCTGTTCCCAAGAGATACATGCAGGGTACTGCCTTTTTATATTGAATATGCCCGTCTTTTACAACGTGTTCTCCCTAGGGTTTCTTAACCCTCAGTGCAAGCGTAAACATGGTCCTGGGTGGTAACTGGAGAGAGTTTTCAAATCTGGGTGATTTTAGTTATCCTGGCACTCGCCCTTGCTTGTACCTGACAATACTCATTGTATTAATGTCAGGCTACGTTGCTGTTGACATACAGTGGTGCCCCGCAAGACGAATGCCTCGCAAGACGAAAAACTCGCTAGACGAAAGGGTTTTCCGTTTTTTGAGTCGTTCCACAAGACGAATTTCCCTATGGGTTTGCTTCGCAAGACGAAACGTCTTGCGAGTTCTTGCGAGGTTGTTTCCTTTTTCTTAAAGCCGCTAAGCCGTTAATAGCCGCTAAGCCGCTAATAGCCGTGCTTCGCAAGACGAAAAAACCGCAAGACGAAGAGACTCGCGGAACGGATTAATTTCGTCTTGCGAGGCACCACTGTATATTGAACAACCATATACAGTGGTGCCTCGCAAGACGAAATTAATTCGTTCCGCAAGTCTCTTCGTCTTGCGAGTTTTTCGTCTTGCGATGCACGGTTTCCCATAGGAATGCATTGAAAATCAATTAATGCGTTCCTAGGGAAACCGCCTTCAGACCAGGTCCTGGGACAGTCTGTCCCCCGACCTCTTCTGAAGGCTGGGGGGACGACGACAAGGGCTTTTCTTCCCACCCCCAGCATTTTAAAAAACCCCGGGACAGCGGAGGACTTCTCCGCTGTCCGGGGCAATCTTAAAATGCTGGCGGGCGGCATTTTAAAATCGCCCGGGACAGCGGAGGACTTCTCCGCTGTCCGGGGCGATTTAAAAGCCCCTGGGAAGGCAGGCAGGGGGGACAAAGATTTTCGCCCCCCACCCGCCTTCAGAAGAGGTCCTGGACCTCTTCTGAAGGCGGGCGGCGGCGAAAGTCTTTGCTCCCCCCTGCCTGCCTTCCCGGGAGAGCGGAGAAAGGCAGCGCGTTTCTCCGCTGTCCTGGACGGCTTTTGAAGGCAGGCGGGGGGGGGAGCAAAGATTTTCGCCCCCCGCCCGCCTTCAGAACAGGTCCTTGACCTCTTCTGAAGGCGGGCGGGGGCGAAAGTCTTTGCTCCCCCCTGCCTGCCTTCCCGGGAGAGCGGAGAAAGGCAGCGCGTTTCTCAGCTGTCCCGGATGGCTTTTGAGGTCCTGGACCTCTTCTGAAGGTGGGCGGGGGGCGAAAGTCTTTGCTCCCCCCCCCTTCAAAAGCTGTCCTGGACAGGCTTCGCGGACCTCTCCACAAGCAGCGGGAGCGCTCCCGCTGCTTGCGGAGAGTTGCCAGCATGCCGAAGCCTGCGCGCGCTGAGATCAGCGCGCCCAGGCTTCGCGGCCCCGCTGCCCGGCATCGGAGCTTGGTTCCGATGCCGGGCGGCGGGAGGAGGCGTCCCCGCCCCGCCGCCCGGCATCGGAGCTTGGTTCCGATGCTGGGCGGCGGGAGGAGGCGTCCCCGCTCCGCCGCCCGGCATCGGAGCTTGGTTCCGATGCCGGGCGGCGGGAGGAGGCGTCCCCGCCCCGCCGCCCGGCATCGGAGCTTGGTTCCGATGCCGGGCGGCGGGAGGAGGCGTCCCCGCCCCGCCGCCCGGCATCGGAGCTTGGTTCCGATGCCGGGCGGCGGGAGGAGGTCCGAGGACAGTGGGGAAGACGCGCTGCGCTTCCCCGCTGTCCCGGAGATTTCCCTATGGGCTTTCGTCTTGCGAAGCAAGCCCATAGGGAAATTCGTTTTGCGAAGCGCCTCCAAAACTGAAAACCCTTTCGTCTAGCGGGTTTTCCGTCTTGCGAGGCGTTCGTCTTGCGGGGTACCACTGTAATGTGGGCAGAGCTAACTGGCTTGTGTCTTGCTGCGTTTAATTTGTAGCTTGAGTGTTGCTATAATAAAACACTATTTTCAGGAAATGCAGATCTTGTTTCTTTTTTCCAAGTTGTATTTGAACTCTGCCAACATGGAAATGTGGAGGTTAAGCAACTGCAAGGAAGCCAAATATTCTCAAATCAAAAGAGTTCCTTCTCTAACTCCCATGAGGAGTTCAGAGTTGGACTCATGGAAATGGTACGCCATGGCATGAGGCACTTTCAGCATTCATTGTTGTTGCACTTAAAATGTCCAACACGCTGTCTAAAAAAATCTTTTTTAAATTCCCAGTTCAAAGAGTAACATGATAAATATGATACAAGAGGAAAAAGTGATGGAGGTAGGGAGTCTGTGGCTTGTCAGAAGTTGCTAGTCTGCAGCTACTTTCATCCACAACCATAGTGTCTGAGATTGACAATCTACCCTTTATAGTTGCAAAGATAAATTTGAAGAATCTGGTGCTTTTCTGATTCCTCAACCAAGTTAAAATGTGGCCTTCTTCATTGTGCTCCAGCTGCTTTCAAGATAGAGGAATTTAAATCACCAAGAAAAGATTGTAAAAGAGAAATGTGGTTTAAATCTATTTAGAAAAAGCTGGATCCAGCTATTAAAAATATTGGTGTAAAAGAGAAGGCTAATTTATATTTCTTGCATATTAACATTTGGTTTGACAGCTTGTTTAAGATGGGAGCCTTAGTTAAGAGAATGGTAAAGTCATATCTGAAGTGCCTATTTTTCCTCTTGTTTGGAACAGCAGACAACTGAGTAGGGAAATGAGGTTGAGTAATTGTGTCTTACACTTCAGAAAAATTGCTAGTAAAGTCGAAAAGTTGTGAATGGATTCATTAAGCTTTTTTTTCATGCTAGAAAATCACATAACTACTGGTGATCCATGTTTTCACCAAGAATAAAGCATGACACCGGCTGGCTGTTTGCTTGCTTTGTTTTTTTGTTTTAAAGAGCATAGCTTTCAGGTAGCATAGCAAACACTACCCAGTAGGAAAAATATACATTAGTTGTGTGGCACTTATTCCAGGTGTCCCAAGGAATATTATTGGTAACTTGATTACATTTATTTTGGAACAGATTCCATTTGTGGTATAGCTTTTCATTCCAGTAATGCTTGTGAATCTAGTAAAGGATGTAATCTGCTATTTAGCTGCTTTGAAATCCTCTTGGGCAAACTATTAGGAAAATCCCTTGCTCTGAAATGATAGAAGTATTCTTCCAGAATCTCTTTGATTCCAAATCCTTTGGATTTCCCACTTTTTTCTTCTCCTCCTGTCTCATTTACAATTACACATAATATTGTACAGTAATTCTAGGAAGCGGTTTCCGCTTATTATAGCTAGGTTGCTTGATTCAGCATTGATTAGGAATTTAAACTTGAATTTAAACTTGTTATACAATGGCAAAGCAATATTTGTCCTTAAAGGTAAAGGGACCCCTGACCATTAGGTCTAGCCGCGGACGAGACTGGGGTTGCGGCACTCATCTCGCTTTATTGGCCGAGGGAGCTGGCGTTCAACTTCCAAGTCGTGTTAAATTTGACTAGACCCAAGACCCCAGTAGTGCGGCATTCTGATCTCACCATTTCCAGCCAGATGCATATATGAAGCCCACAAGAAGAAAATGAGTGTAATAGCACTCTTCCTCTGTTAATACCAGCTGCTGAGAATCACAAGACATGTTGTTTCTGATACTGGAGGTATAGTCACATGGCTTTCATCCATCCACTAGAAACCATGTGTTCCATATCAGCCCAATTCTGTGTAACTTTCTCCTGGCCCTGCTGGACTTCAGGCATTTTGATTAAGCTTTTGTGACGACTTAGTTAATTTTAACAGAATTAACTGAATTTTTGTATTGTTTGTAAACCCACTGTACTTATAAGCAGTGGTTGTTAGGTGGTGTGCAGATCGTTGAGATAAATACCATATTTTTCCATGTATAAGACAACCCCTATTTTTTTGAACCCAAAATTAAGAAAATGAAACCCTAAAATAGAAGTGAAAATCTGGATGATTGGCGGCGGCAAGTTGTTGATCTTTTTGGGGGTGATCACCCTCAAAGTGTCCAGCAAGAAGCAAAGGCAGCGACTGGGGCACCACACACTTCCCCTCGGTGGCAGCTGCTCCTGCGGGGAAGCAGGCTCCTAAGCAGGATGCCAAGGAAGAGCCGGAGGAAGGCAGCGGCCGCTCTGCATCAAGCCATGCCAGCAAGCAAACTAGGCTGAGGAAGGTGGTGAGCGGGCTGGGGGCAAGATGAGAGGGGAAGAGGAAAAAGAGGAAAGAAGGGCAAGGAGAGATAGCTGAGGCAGTTCTCGGCGGCGGCAGCTGCTCTTGATCCAGTGGTCGAGCCAGCGGGGACTCCAGGAGGTGAGCCAATCGCTAGCATGTAGCCTGGGGGGGGGGAGAAAGGGGGGATGCCTGCAGGAGGGACTGCCTCGGCCCACCCAAGCCAAAATCCCAGACACATGCTTAAATATTTTTAAATTCCCCCAGAGGCCCATGTTCCGTGTACAAGACAACCCCCAATTTTTTACTATTTTTTTTTAGCAAAAAACCTCATCTTATATACACGGGAAAATACGGTACAGTGGTACCTCGGGTTACATACGCTTCAGGCTACAGACTCCGCTAACCCAGAAATAGTACCTCAGTTAAGAACTTTGCTTCAGGATGAGAACAGAAATCGTGCTCTGGCAGCGTGGCGGCAGCTGGAGGCCCCATTAGCTAAAGTGGTGCTTCAGGTTAAGAACTGTTTCAGGTTAAGTACAGACCTCCGGAACAAATTAAGTACTTAACCTGAGGTACCACTGTAAATGACAAATGTCTGCCATTCTATTATTGACACTCTCTTCGAAGCAACAGATTAATCTGATGCCTGTACAAAAATGTGCTGCAACACTCTTGTTAATATTTTAGGTTACACTTTGTTAGTTGTGTTAGATAATAGGAAATGCCCATCTTGGCATAATTTAAGAGTTCCTTCTTGTTTTTCTCCTGTAAGGGGTTTAGCAAGACCTGTGAGAGGGCAAGTTTCCAACAGCTGCCCCAACTGGGTAAGCTCTTTCCTCCCCCCACCTCTCCCCCAGAGAGTATTCAATGGTTTCCATTCATTCTTTGAGTGGCCTTAAATACCAGGCTATCACAGACCTGACTCAGACACTGCCCATTTATTATGTCACCCCAGAAATAAAGATGGCTGCTGCTGCTTTTGAAATTTCCAGTGGGATGGCTCAAGATCAGGCAGTTGGTTATTCTAAGCAATGAGAGCAGCAGATGCAGAAATTGCAAGGATTAGAACCATAGGAAGCTGCTTTACAACAAATGGGACCATTGGTCCATTTAGCTCAACATTTAGTATACTCACTGACAACAGTTTTCCAGGGATTTAGATGGGGTCTTTCTGAATGCAATTTGGAGAGGATGAGAACTGAACCTGGCAGCTTCTGCTTGCAAAGCATCTCGTCTGCTACTTGAACTAAAACCATTAGCTGAAGCAGCATAGTTTCACCTATCTTAATGCAACACCTGTTTAAATGTAATAGAGGCAGGAAGATCTGTTGCAGAAACTCGGAAGTGGCAGGACATTGCTGTAGGAATTGAAAGCATGGCTTGTTAGAGAATGTTCTTGAGGTATTAATCTGCACAGGTAGATGGACTTGCTTGCTTGTTGTTGTTGTTGCTTGTTGTTTTAATCGAGGTTTTAAAAAAGTGCACTAAGACAGCACTGGGAATTGGGTGGGGATGAATTTATTATGAAGTATGCCCTAGGCAGCATAACAGAGTACAGCAATGTTATGTATTTTGGAAACTAGAGTTGCTAAACGGAAGAAGTTGTCCAAAGTTTTCACAGGTAACTTCGGAAGAAACTGGAAATATATTTTTTCCCCTGTGAGCAATTGTTGCATAGCAGACCTGCTGTCTGCGCAAGTCCTAATTTACACTCCAAAGGCTAAATATGAAGATGCTTTGATAAGTTGCCATCTTGACAATCCAAACAACAACTGTTTTATAGTTGTTTTTAAAAATGTCTTGGCTACCTACAGATCTAAGGTTGGTGATCCAAAACACTGAACCTGAACTACTCCTTTGATTCAGGAAGTTCTTGAAGCAAGGCAGCCTAGATACGCATGTCCTGAACTTTGTATCCTTTGACTGCTGGTGTTTTCCTGGCTGCAAACATTGCAGGGCTATTTGGATTGCCTCATCTTCACAGTTTTACAGGGCCAATGCAAATGGCATAGGTGGTGGAGAAAGAATAGGCACCATTCCCATTTTAAATAAGGCCCGAAAAGCTTCTTCTTACTCAATCTCTAACTACTATTCTCAAGTGAAGAACAGTTTTATTTTGTTGTTTTTAAACATTTGGCTTCACTTCCCTTTTCTGTTCATGCAGGTACTTTGATGGCAACCTGGAGAAGCTCTTTGCAGAATGTCATGTAATTAATCCTAGTAAAAAGTCTCGAACACGTCAGATGAGCACAAGGTCATCTGCACAGGACATGCCTTGCCAGATCTGCTATTTGAACTATCCTAACTCTGTGAGTAACTTTTAAAAAAAGGCATTTAAAGCATTTAAATCTTTAAAACATTGTCACATTTGACTTCTAAACTCTTATTTTGGATGTCTGCTATTTTGCCAATTTGTACATGGGTTGTTATGGAAGATAATAGCCAGTAGTCTTTCCTATATCTGTCTTGGCCTTCATCTAGCTATCTTCTCTCTGACATGTGTTTTCCCTGCACAGGGAATTCTTTTGTATAGACTAGAGGAACATTTAATGTAACCTCTTCCTACAGGCAGAAGTGGTACATGGTAAAAACAGGTTTTCCTAATTTGTTGTTTGAGAACTAGGCTTCTTTTTCTTTTAATATAAATATTTCAGTAAAGCTATATGTTAGGCTAATAATAAAACTTATTCTTTTATATAAATAGGAAACAGGAAAATAACACATGTATTTCAAAACTAATAAGCTTATCATAGTGCAATTGTATCAATATTGTAATTTTTGGAATGCAATAAATGATTGCTAAATTTTCCTTGAAGTTTTCATACAGTCTATTCTTTAAGCATTACTGTTTCATTGTTTGAGCTGTGTAGCACACTTTATTTAACTCGTATTTCATGGCTAAAGATTTGAAGTTTGCCAGAATTTTTGCTGTTTGTTTTGGTGCAAGTAATAAATATGACACTAGTGAGTAATGTGTATTTCTAATGATTCAAGAATAATCAAAAGGTATAGCTATTAACCAATAATTTTAATAAGGCTCATATTTCTAGTTGAATATGGATCTTTGACATTGTTCTTCAAATTGTATAGCTTCCAAGTGTTACTCTCATTGACTTGCTTGCCAAGGCACAGCCTCCCTCTTCTGCATTATAGCAGAAGATTTGGGGGAATGTTGTAGGACACATACTCAATTCACATTGGACCCCTGCAAACCTTTTTGAATCTCGGTGCTACTCCATTTGCATTCTCTGTGACTTCCGATGTGACCAACATTTCCAGTATACTCCATATTGAAGATTAACAGTGACATGCAACCTGCCTTTGCAGGGGCATATTATTTGATCTTACTAGGGAATCCCAGGGTTTCTCAAACATTTGGAAAATGCTGTTTTGTGAGATTATCCGCTTCTTTTTTCATCTCAATAACGTCTTGATAACATTGTTCTTCTAAGAATTTCATGCAGTCATTTAACTTTGCTTCTGTTTTATGGGATTTCTATCCAAGTACTTCTGACTTCATGTAATTTAATTTTATAACACATTCTAATGCCAGTCAGCAAGTAATAAAAATTGAGTTTCCTAAGTAAAATGCAATATCTTCCATGTGCTGTCTTGCATTCATTTTTTTTATTGTGTATCCTTTTGGTTCTTATATCATTTGTTTGGATCATTGTGCACAAGTGAAACCATAATTGTATATATGAATGCTGTCCAACTTCAAGGCAGAGTCTCAAATGCTTTTATACTTGCCAGTTGATACTGAGTTACTCCTTCAGCTGGCATACGGTGCATCACAATGTTCCAAAGCATTTGGATCCTACTTGGATGGGTGCTGCTTAAGGGGTGTTCCCCATGGAGCCTTCAATGTAGGGTTCTGCAAGGTTCAATTTTATCTTCTATGTCAGTGGTTTTCAACCTTTTTGAGTCCATGGCTCCCTTGGAGTCCACCAGCCACTTACACTGGGGTTCCGTTACAGGACACACATAAGTGGGATTTCCTTCCATTCTGCCCTCCCTCTTTTTGGCACCATTTTTGGCACGTCTGTAAGTGGGAGCACGTGTCGGCGGGAACCCAAGCAATGCCGCTGCTTTGCAGGGCCAAGCTGACCCACTCCACGTGGCAACCCTAGCCTGCCTTTCCTGAAATTAGAGTGTACATTGGGTTGGGGAGAGCGCAAAACAATATTAAGATCAGAAGTATTTCCTTATTGTGGGGAAGGAAACCGAGAAACACAGGACGCACATGCATACATGGCTCTTTCCTGCAACATTCTCCCTGTTCCCATAAAGCTTGGTGACTGTTAAGGAGGAGTGGGTTGCCTGCAGGGAGAGGTAGAGAAGAAGAATGAGGAGGAATGTTGAGGGTAGAAGGAGAGAGAAACACAGAAGACACTCCTCACTTTCAGGGTTATGTTTAAATCCCTTCTTATAGGACACACATACACACCATCAAGCTACTTTGCTGTTTTCTTACATTTCTCAAGTGTAAAACTAAGGAACTGTTAGTTACTGAAGCTGGGGAGAATTTTTTTTGGGGGGGGGGAGATTTAAGTCATGCAAAAGTGTTTCCCCACTTTTTTGCCACTGTTTTATTTCGGGAAGATAATGGGCTGCAGGTTAAAGTTGCCAGTTCCCCGAATGTTCCTCAGGGAGAAAGAGAGAGAGAGAATATGCAGGAAAATATGGGCTGCAAGTTAATTAAAGCGTGCCCCCCAAGGCTCCCCTGAATGTTCCTCAAGCCACCCCAGGGTGCCTCAGCACACTGGTTAAAAACCAGTGCCCTATGCTGTTTAACATCTACATTAAACCACTGAAAAGGGGTTATCCAGAGGTTTGGAGTATGTTGTCGGCAATATGCTGATGGCACACAATTCTATTTCTCTGTATCTGCAGGTGAGGCAGTGCTTGTGTTGGACTGTTGTCTTGCTTCGGTAGTAGAGTGGATGAGAGCCAACAAACGAGCTCAATCCAGATAAGATTGAGGCATTGGTAGTGCATGGTTCCTTAGACCAGGTGACTGCCTGTTCTTCATGAGGTTGCACTGCCTATGAAGGAGTTGGGTATGCAGCTTTGATCCTTGGCTGTCGCTTGAGGCTCAGGTGGCCTCAGTGGCATGGAGTGCCTTCCATCAGCTTGGGGTGGTGGCCCCCATGTACCTCTATCTGGACAGAGCCAGCCTAGCGCCTCTCTATGTTCTAGTATCTTTACAGCAATGTGTTATACATAGGGCTGCCTCTGAAGATGGTTCAGAAACTTCAGCTGGTGAAGAATTCAGCAGCCAGGTTGCGCACTGGGACAAGACTGTTTGAGCATATTACACCGATCCTGGTCCGACTGCACTGGCTGCCAATTAGTTTCCAGGCACAATTCAAAGTGCTTATTTTGACCTATAAAGCCTTAAACGGCTTAGGACTGCAAAAGGACCACCTCTCCCCATATGAGCCTACCCTGGACCCTGAGATCATCATCTGAGGCCTTTCTTTGTGTGCCTCCTCCATGAGAGGTTTGTAGTGTGGCAACACAAGAATGGGCATTTTCTGCAGTGGCTCCCCATTTGTGGAATTATGTGCATAACTGAAACCCAGTGAAAAACCCTGCAAAACACCCCACCCCCTTTCTGCTTTTTTAGTGATGGTTCAGTGATGTCTTTATGAACACGTATTAAGTAGGGTGCTGCCTGTAAACCAAAGTAGTCTCAAATTAATTTCTTTCTAAAATTATTTCCCTTTGTATATTTAGTAAACTGTTGTACAAAGGGATCCTTAAATTTTTTTGTTCTAATCTGTTTTGGTCCATGGTGCATCATCCTGTTGTATAGCACTTCCAAATATCCGTTATCCTTCCCTAGCACGTGTTTTTTATAATACTTTGTCATCTTTTTTTTAAAAAAATCAACCTGATATTCTTAATGTCCCAAGAGGAGGTAAGCACAATTAATGTTGGCAGATGGATGAAAAATGGATTTAGGCCCAACTAATCTTTGTGGGATTTTAATCCTTATCACTAACTAGCTACCTTTCATTAGCAATGTTTTTAAAAAGTGTAGAATAATGAATTAATCTTGAAGAAAATGTGAGGTGATGTTGGGGTTTTGCTAGTGGTAATACCAAAATGCATATCCTTCTCTTGAAGTAGATGAAAATGTATAATTAAACATTAGAGATTCTGTTTTTCCTCTCATTAATTCCAAATTGAATTTTCCCCTTGTCTGTCTTTGCTCACTCCCCAGTGTCTTGTGACCAGGGCGTTGGTGCAAAGAGACCTCTGAGTATTGCTATATATGCAGGGGTTAGAAAGAGTTCAGTGGAGCTGTTTGCATAGGATGATGCAGCTTTATGAATATTGCTGTGAGCGCAGATCTCTGCTTGTGAAACAGCAAAATTAGATGGAAGAATACTAATGCTAGAGTCAGAGTTTGGGATTTATAAAGAAGCAGAGCAGGTATTTCCCACAGGTAATTGAGAGTGACTAGTGACTATAGCCAGGACGCGGGTAGCGCTGTGGGTTAAACCACAGAGCCTAGGACTTGCCGATCAGAAGGTCAGCGGTTCGAATCCCCATGTCAGGGTGAGCTCCCGTTGCTCGGTCCCTGCTCCTGCCCACCTAGCAGTTCAAAAGCACATCAAAAAGTGCAAGTAGATAAATAGGTACTGCTCTGGTGGGAAGGTAAACTGTGTTTCTGTGTGCTGCTCTGGTTTGCCAGAAGCAGCTTAGTCATGCTGGCCACATGACCCAGAAGCTGTATGCCGGCTCCCTCGGCCAATAAAGTGAGATGAGCACCGCAACCCCAGAGTCGGTCACGACTGGACCTAATGGTCAGGGGTCCCTTTACCTTTACTTAGTGACTATAGCAATAAAAAAACGGCCTTCCTGAATCAGCCCAAAGCTCATCTAGTTCAGTATTCTGTTTCAAACAAAGGCCAGCCAAATGCCTTGAGGTCTTTAGAGCCAGGCACATAGCATAGTGTGGTGCTGTGGGTTAAACAGAGCAAGTAGATAAATAGGTACCGCTCTGGCGGGAAGGTAAATGGCGTTTTTGTGCGCTGCTCTGGTATGCCAGAAGCGGCTTAGTCATGACCGGGAAGCTGTGCGCCAGCTCCCTCGGCCAGTAAAGCGAGATGAGCGCTGCAACCCCAGAGTCGTCTGCGACTGGACCTAATGATCAGGTGTCCCTTTACTTTTTACATAGCATAGTGTGTCTTGTCAGGGACTGCTTTCTCATGGCAGCAGCTGACAGGGCCTGTGCGTGTGGTGGCATTGATCAGGCACCGGGCCATGTCCTGATGTTTTTCAGGCCTACCATGTTAATTATGTTATCCCCACCCATGACATACATACACTGAGACAGAACTGGTATAATTAATATGGAGGTACTTCCAGCAACCCCTGAGGCTTGAGCGAATAATCTTGTTGTCTGGGTAGCGCAGGACCTCCTTACAGGCTTGCGCCCCAGAGAGGAGGCGCACTCCATTGTCTCTTGAGACAGACAGGTGCCAACAACTACAACAACCACAGTTGACACGAATGACCCAGGGTGACAGTTGGCTCCACTGGGCAGGAACACTGACTGCAGGGCTGCATGTCGCAGGGACTGGGTGGTAGTAGCCCAGCGGCAGCTCTGATTGGAACGTTTATGTTGCTACCAGGGAGGGCAGGCATGTGCTCTCATATAGTGAGTCTGAATGTCCAGAGTCCAGGAAGCAGAACTTTAAACTTGGCTATAGAAATACTTATGCACTTCATTCCACAGCAGAAGGCAGCACAAAACTTGAACTCAAAAACAACGCAGACGAAATAAGCCTGGGGTGAGATACCAGAGCTCTTGCAGATTTTACTGGGTTTGGTTGAGCCTTCGCTCTTAACTGCCCACTTGCTGCACTGCATTAAACACGTGCCTCTCAGATCTCCTGGTGAGGGTGAACAAAATAGGAGAGATGCTATATAAATAGCTGGCAACAAATATTTCTGAGTGGGGGAGCTTCTCGTGCCATTGCTTTTGTCAGCAGCTAGTTACTAGACCAGGCTTTCTTGCCGTTTCCTTTCCTTGAAGTCTGTTGACTAGTCCATAAACGTGATTTAAGTTCAACAAGTTAAGAGGAAGCCCTGAAGAGAAGGCAACAGTGGAGGTTTAACACCATGCATTTAATATCCCTTGGCTTAGCACATTTAGATAGAGGGTATTTACGAGATATATTTGCATTGCCAGTTGTTGTCCTCCGTTTTGAAACTTTTGCAGTAAAGTAGCCTAAATTTCATGGGAAGCTAGACTTGGGGAAAAAAGCCCTGGGGTTGTTGGTGGTGCTGGGAGCCATCACTTCTTGTCACAAATACTATGCATGTTTAATAGCTGCATTGTATACTTTAGCTTCCTGCTTCGTCCTGGACAGTAAAAGGCAAAATTTTCCCTACCCCCACTCCAGTGCTGGGATGCAGATGGGTACAAATGCAGCTGTTTAAGGAGTGGGCGGGGATCTGTCCAGCCACCCAAACCTCAGTGCTGGACTGTGTTTGTGCCTACCTGATTGTGAGGCTGAGTGTGTGTGTGTGTGTGTGTGTGTGTGAGAGAGAGAGAGAGAGAGAGAGGTGTGCTTGTGCCAAGGGTGGGAAAATAAAGGCACATTGTGTTTTTTCTTTTGGGGGGAAGCTTTTTGTGTATGCTCACTAAAGGTTAGGCAAGTTCTAATACAACTCAGGCTGATAGCGTTTCCCTACCCTGGTAGACTACATTTATTACACGTAGGGAATGTCTTTTTGCAAGTGTAGAGAATTCATCGAAAATGATTAATGAAATGCTGTCAACAAGCCTGCATTCACATCTTTCAGCTTTCAACCCTTGGGGCTACTATACCTGGAAAACTGGGCTGAATTCTCCTTTTTCTCCTTCTCCTCCCTTCCCCTTCTCCTCATCCTCTTCTCTCTCTCTCTCTCTCTCTCTCTCTGTCTCTGTCTCTGTGTGTGTGTTGGTGTGAGGACTGGAAGCACTGGGATGTGCAGAAATTAGTGGAGACAGGGGGACAGCAGAGGGGAGAGGGCAGTAGAGCAGAGAAGGCAGTGATTATACCTTTCACAGGTTAACTGCCATTCATGAACTCTGCATGTGGATGGGAGCAGGCTTGTGCTTTTGGCCATGCCTCTCTGATTATGTATTTCCTCTGTGTCTATGCATTGAGTGGAAAATATGCGGTGTACATGTTCCGCATGATCCAGGACCTATGCATGGAATGCAGAAATTAGCAGGGTTGGGCTTGGCAGGGCATGTGATACGGAAGGGGACAGTAGTCACAGCCACCCCAGCACAAAAACTATATGTGTGGAGGTTAATCTGTGAAGATTTAAGTCAAATTGGAGGTTTTGAGTACCAGTGCGATGAAAACAATCATTCAGTAGTGCATTAAATGATGCACAAGAGGCCAATGTTGCTTCTAGCTCTCTTATGTTACAAATCTCATTGTCACAACTTTCTGCCTCCGCCTTTATCTTTGATATATCACATAGAAATGGCCCTCCAAGCCCCTCTGAACTCTCCCCAGGCCACACCCCCTTACTGTCCCTGCTTCACATCCTCCTTGAAAGACTTTGCCTGACTGGATTGTGTCCTTGAACTCCGAGAATTCCTCTTGCTTCCCTTTGATGGAGAATAGATGGGTTTGTGAGTGTGAACACTAGGCTAATTTCTCTGCAAAGGTAACAAAAGGATTGATTGCTCTGCTCAGTTTTGCCTCTGGCCACATCCATCGCTCTCGTGTGACACCTCCCCCCCCCAAAGGTTGCTCAGAAAACAATATGACCCATTGCCTAAAAATGGGTTCCCTAGCGCTGATTCCGATGATGCCTTGGCCAGAGAACTCCATAGTGCACAAAGTACTATTTTGACATCTGGCATTATTATAAGAAAAGCTTTGGGAGTAAGCCCTGAGTAAAAATCCATACCTGCTGTCTTGCGGGACATCTTCAGAAGAAAAGGCTAAGGAGTAAACCCTACACACATCTGGAATGTAGTCCCTAAGATGGTTGGATAGCGCCTAGTACGCCGCCTCCTGACAGCTTCTGCAGCCAAGTTGGTGCCAAATGTATTGCTCTGCTTTCCTATGGACCACAGCGGGGCTGAGAGCGTGGTCTTGTCGTCTGGGCAGCCCAGGATTTCCATGCACACTGCCTAAGTTTGTGCCTCAGAGAGGAGGCGCATTCCATTGTCTCAAGACAGACGGATGACATCAACAACAATTACTGTAACCTGTTTATGATCATGTATTCTGGTTTTCTTTCTCTTGGGCTTCTGATTTGTGATTTATTTATTTTTTACATTATGAGAATGAAGAGAGGGGATATTTCCTTTTTATGTGCTATTTGAACTCTGAAACAAAGGGACTAAGTGCACCATAAGATTTTCTGGTTAAAGCAAGTGAGTGCAGTTAGGTCAGTTAATACTTGAAAGAAGCTCTAAAGTAACTGCTATAGCAGTAATGATAGCTAACAGCCTTCCCCAACCCAGTGCCCCTCAGATTATTCAGGACTACAACTCCTATCAGCCCCAGTCTCTAGGTTGATGAAAGTTGTAGTCCGACACAATCTAGAGGACACCAGGTTGGGAAGGGATGCTCTAAGATGTTGACATTTTGCAAGGTGATGATTCTTTCAGGAAAAACTGCATACAGCTAATCTTGCAGCAGTGGGAAAAGAGTACACAGTACACATAACGTTCTCTCTCTTTGCAGTACTTCACTGGTTTGGAGTGTGGACATAAGTTTTGTATGCAGTGCTGGAGTGAATATTTAACTACCAAAATAATGGAGGAAGGCATGGGACAGGTAAAACTTTTCCCCATTATGTTTTGATGTTGGAGAAAGAATTGTTTGATCAAGGGTCCGCAAGTTTGCTCGCCATTTCAAGTGTCTAGGAGGTGTGGAGAGCCTTAGGGTTTGCCCCAACCATGAAGCTGGAGGTGGGCTTGCCCCTCTAGTTATACTGCACTTGGCCAGTTTCCTTCCTGCCCCACCTCCCCTGCTCTCAGGTTGAGAGGAAGCCTGAGGACTGTAGTGCTTCAGAAGCGCTGTGCTTAAATGACGAACTCCCAACACTCACTCCAGCTCTGTGCTGAAGGGGTGATAGCTTGCTGGCTTGACTTTCTTCTTTCAAGGCATTCTATTGCATCAGAAGCACCTCGGAGCCCTGGCTCCAGCTGTGAACCGAAGAGGGAAACAGGATCTTGTTATCAAGCTATGCTTCCATACAGTGCAAATCCAAAAATGATCCTTCACCTGCCTTCCCAGCTCTAAGCTTGGAGCAGGGAATTGTCCCTCACTCTGTGCTGCGTTTTGGAGGTTCAGTTCAAGTTCAGGGATAAGACACCTACCTTTTCAAATCTCCCCAGTCAAAAACCAGTCTCTTGGCAAACTTGACAACCAGAATTTGTGGACTCTTTGTTTAGGTTTTGCCTTGGGAGGGTGTTTAAAACAATCACCTGGGAGGTTTGTTTTATATTACAGCTGATGAGTACAGTTAAACTTAGAGCTTAAGCCCTTGGCTGGCCAACCTCTTGTAACCTGTGTTGTGTTTTAGAAGTGCTGCTGAGTGTACACAGTTCTTAGAGATTCTTGACTGCCATTCAAACTAAATCAGATGTTCTTTCTGACTCCTGTTTCCCCCCCCCCCCTCACCAGACAATTTCATGCCCTGCTCATGGCTGTGATATCTTGGTTGATGACAATACAGTTATGTAAGTATTATAGTTGATACATGACTTCAGTAATACCTCCCTTCCTGTGTTGAGCGCTAAAACAGATCGGTTAAGGATTGACTGGCCCAAAACTGTGTTTTATCGAAATATAATGGGTCAGTCTTATATGATCATCCATGGACATCTTTCGATGCCTTGGGAGAAGTGAGCCTCCTCTGTAGTCTCCATAATGGAAACCAAAGAATGCTTCTGCTTTGCCATCAACTTCACCTTTTTGCTTGCAGTATGTTTTGCTTGCAGGAGCTTTTTGACAAAGTCATAAAATGACTGTTGCTGATGTTTTCCATTGGCTGATTTCACAGACTTAAAGCAAGAGACCTCTGAACTGCAGTTAGTTCATCTAATAAATTTAAGTTCATGATCTCACAGCCTTACATTAGATGGTTTAGTCAACCTTGTGTAATCCTTTCCAGGAATAAAATCCCGAGTTTGGCCTTATTCACCCCTCATTCTTTGTAGATTGCTTTTAGTGTTAAATTAGTGTTGTGGTCCTTTTTCTACTGTTTCCATTTTAAGTTGGGACTTGTATAAATATGGAAAGTAGGTATAACTGTACTGATTTCATCATGTGAAGCCCATGTAAAAGGTTCTGTTTGTTTTTATAGAGCCTAAAATAATCTGACTAAAACACATCCTTTTTTCTGATTATTAAACTAGTTTTATCTTGTAATACAACATCAGTTGCAAGGGAGTACTTTTGAGACTGTCCTAAAAAAGCATAAAACAAAAAGGCACATGTTTTTAGGTATCCTACCTTTTCTTCCACATACACCAATTACGTATCATATTTTTAATAAGAACTGTTCAGAGAAGAATACTGTACCAGCAGTAAATGTCATTATCTGTTAGGTCATTGTGTATTGGATCTTTTTCTCTGTCTGACATCCCCATAGTTTTAAATGTTGTGTTCCATTCATTGTCCAAGCATCTCAGAGGTTCACAGGTGGTCTCCAGGTAAGGTACCTGTCAGACCTAGGTTTGTTTTGGTTCACAGAGAATTATACCCCCAATCTCTTGTAGTTGTAATTTGTTTTTATGTTTGTTATTTATTTAAAAGCATTTCTAAATCACTTTTTTAACAGGAAAGAAAAGCCCTAAGTGTTATACAGAAATACAATATAGAAACAATAAAAACAGAAATTCAGTTAATAGGGTTCAATCTCATAGGTTCAGGCCAAAAAACACATCTTTACAAAACACATTAGAAGCAACTGATGGATGATGCTTCAGGTATGGAACACTTTGACAGAGGGAGATTGCTTTAAAATCTTCAAGGCATCAAATCAGTGCGCTTCTCATGATGAGAACAATGGAGTTATAGGGTGGTGTTCAGCTTTACTCAGAACAGACTCATTGAAATTAATGATACGACTAAGTTGAATTCATTAATTTCAGTGGTGAAACTTACATGCATATTCCAAACCATCTGGAAGGCACCAGGTTAGCAAAGGCTGATCTGTACCCTTTAAAAATGTGTGCTTCCCCAAGTACAGGTTGAAACATTTGTTATGCTGCCTAGCAGCCAACACTTTATATCCAGTGCCAGCCAATGAATAAACAAGAGGGTAAACAGCAGACACCATATGCCCCAGGTACATAATGGCCTTCTGCAGCTTTCCTTTACCCCCCACCAAAAAAAAGATTGTAAGTGACCAGCTAATACATTTGTTTTCCTTAGAGTTCACTGACTGAATGTTTAATATGCTAATGGAAATCCCTAGATTATGGTGCACATCTCTCTATTCATGGCCATCTGTATGAAGGGACGTCGTCTTTCAAAAGTTTCTTGTCCTATGTCTTTTTAGACAATTGTTACATATAATTTGATCCAGTAGTGCAAAGTGGAAGAGCATCTAGTCTAGTGTACAAAAGTTGGAAATTAGTATTGTGGGTTTTAGTGTGCCAGTGCTCTGGAATATGCCTTAGCATGTGTGGTTTAAGTGGCTTGCCTCCTTGTTCTTCAGACAAGGAGCACAGGGAGGGGAGAGGCAGGAGACAGTAACTCTAAGGTCACCTTAATGCAGTGGTTTTGAAACTTGAATTAAATGGTGATACCCGTGTTTCTTCAGAAACGTATTGGGTGTATCTAATTGAGAAGATGAGTAATGCAGTAAAAACTACCCAAAAAGGCTGCTTGCGCACAGTTACCAAAATTCCCCTGCAATGTGGCTGCAGGAAGGGATTTGTGTCTCAGTGTGTGTTTGTGTTTCTCTCTCTCTCTCTCTCTCTCTCTCTCTCTCTCTCTCTCTCTCTCTGTTACACTCAGTTCATATGGGACAGGATTGAGGCCCAGTAGACCTCTGCAAAAACTTTGTGCACCTCTGAACATGTCCCCCAAATCCTCTTCACTTAAGCTGGATTTCTCAACATGGAAAGAATTTCCTGTAGGTAGAAAGCTTGAAATGGGACGAATCTTTACTCAGTAACGAACAGTGTAATATTAAAAGAATGAAAGTGTACTCTTGGTTTGTACACATAAAGCTCCTTCGTGGGTCATGGAAGTTCTAGCTTCTTTAAGCAGCCCATATGAGGCTAGGTGTGACGCGGGTGGCGCTGTGGGTTAAACCACAGAGCCTAGGACTTGCTGATCAGAAGGTCGGCGGTTTGAATCCCCACGATGGGGTGAGCTCCTGTTGCTTGGTCCCTGCTCCTGCTCACCTAGCAGTTCGAAAGCACGTCAAAGTGCAGGTAGATAAATAGGTACCTTCTGGCGGGAAGGTAAACAGCGTTTCTGTGTGCTCTAGTTCGCCAGAAGCGGCTTAGTCATGCTGGCCACATGACCCGGAAGCTGTACACTCGGCCAATAAAGCGAGATGAGCGCTGCAACCCCAGAGTCGGCCACGACTGGACCTAATGGTCAGGGGTCCCCTTTACCTTTACTTATGAGGCTAGGTAACATTGAAGCAGTGCTCATTTTAAAGAGTTTCATTAGAGCTAGCATCTGCAACCCATTAAATGTCACAGAAGCAATGCTTCAGATGAACTTTGTCAGATATATCTGCAAGGCTCCTCCCTCTTATCACCAGGCACCAGCCATTATATCAGGCTGCAGCAGAGGAGGGGATGAGAAGCGATGCCGAGCCACTCGCATTAGTGTAGCTGAGAGACTGGCAACATCTGGTGCCACCTCTGCTTAATCTGTTTCTACTCCAGCTCATCATTAGAAGAACTTGTAATCAAGAACCTGTACATGAATTTGCTTATTTATTCTTCCTTGCCAGTCCATTTGACTTTTATATTATGTCTATTTCGACTGTAAGCCTGAGGGCAGGGACAGTTCCTGTTTGTAGTCATTAGTAAGTTCCTCTGGGACCTTTTTTGGCAGAACAGCAGAATAAACATAAAGTAATACACCAAAGCAATAAAATGCTATATTGAGGGTTTCTGGACTTAACTTCTGCAGTGAAGATTAGGGGGTCAGGCAGGCAAAAAATAATCACCACCATCTTTTGTACCTATTATTTTTGTGTGTGGACACTTGTAAGCGTGAGGAGGCTTATCAGTATCAGAAATGCAGTTCCTCAACCACAGAACATGATTTTAACTTTGAATAGCTGTCTATTAATGGAAAAGGAAATCTGTTAAATGCATGCCTGCTAGTGTGTCCTAACACACATTTTTAAAAAGCGGATTGCCTTCCCTGTGCTTTGAAAAATGTATTGTTTGGGGGTTGTTGTTTTTTTTAGTATTGCTGATACCCTTTGTCAGCTCTGATGGAAGACTAGCTCAGTTTGGCTGCTCCTCTCACTCAGCTATATTTAACTTTACCTAGTGGTGTTTGAATTTTCTTGTTCTTCCCTCACTATACCTTTCCCCCACACTTCTGTGTTGTGTCAAATGGTTAACTTTAAGGCAGGGATTGTCTTTCAGCTGCTTTGCCTTTTGTTGAACGCTAGCAGGAGGCAGCATGTGACACAAGTGTTCCAAGGTTTGCACAAGCACCCTGTTATCTTCTGGGCTACGTTTAAAGTGCTAGTTATTTATATAACAATTGTGCAGCTTGGCCCCAGTCTATCTTCTTAAGTGCCTGTGCTCATATGAACCCCAGCTTGCTTTTTTCAGTGTCTTCCCAGGAGGCCCAGACTGCCTTCAATATCTGCCTGTTTGGTTAGTTGGGACCAAAGTGTAGCTTTTTGTGATGGCATCCCTGCCTTGTAATTCCTTCCATAACTCATAGAACTGTAGAGTTTGAAGGGACCCCGAGGGTCATGTAGTCCAAACCCTTGCAATGTAGATCTCAACACGCCGTCTCCCATCCAATTTGAAACCATAAGAGACCCTGCTTAGCTTTGCAAATGTGCTAGCGGTTTTATTGCCGTGCCACTAGCTAGGTATTGTCATGCATGTAAACTCCTTAGAGGTTTTATTTACAATTAAGTGGTATGCGAATTCTGATAGATAGATAGATAGATAGATAGATAGATAGATAGATAGATGATAGATAAGTAAGTAAGTAAGTAAGTAAGGCTTAGCCTGACAACTAAAAATGTTTATTTGGCTGATACCTAGGACTTAACCCAGGACAACATAAAAAACACTAAGTATGCATCTTTCAGAACCACCAAGGGCTTCAGTATGGCATGTGCAGGGAAGATCTGCTGCAGGCAGAAATGGCATGTATATTTCCATGTACTTGTCCTTTAAAGCAACAAAAGTATTGCAGGCCATATGCCACAAGATGCCCATTTGCAAAGCTGCTTGAGTTAATCTCCACAGTAAAAATTTTACCTAGTTGATGGAATAAATAGCGCAGATATTGGGAGCTCTGCTTGATCAGACCAAAAATCCAAATAGTTTAGCATTTTCCTGAAACTCCAGAAAGAGGAAATAAAGCTGATGGTCTTCCCCCAAAGTTGCTCCTAGTTGCTGGTACAGTATTTAGTGGCAGATTCCTCCTGAACTTAGAGGTTGCATATAGCCATTAGTCAGGAGTTTAAACATTAATGTTGGACAACCATTACATTCCTTCAAGGAAACCCCTTTGTCACAGGCTTCTACTTTCACATAGAAGTTTTTTTGTCTAGTATACTTGTTTTAGATCAGAATTATCTAACTAAAGCTGCCAAGCTTATGTTAAACATCACTGACGGAGACTATTACTAAATACTAAATTAAAGTTCGATCTTTGTTATGGCTCTTCATTTATCACACGGTGTACTACTTTGGATTATTGCCTTCAATAATGCATGAAACCTACATTAAAACATTATTGTTTTGCAGTATATGGTTATTTACAAAAAAGTCTCTTAAATATTTGATTGGTGTCACCAGAAATCTACAGGTGTCTGTTTTAACTTTTGATGATAGGTTCTGTATGGTATGCATGTTGCACTAGTTAGTGTCCGTTTTTCATTTTGCTTATGACTTTGCAAGTACAGTGTTGTTATGTCCATTCACTAATTTACATTGGGATGGAAATCAAGATTAAATATTGCTTTTGCGTTCTGGGCTCTGTGAAGGAAATGGTTGCAGGCAAGCCAACAACTGAGTAGAAATAAGCAAAACATATTATCTGGGGAACAAGAGAGCGAATAAAATCTGGTCACAAAACAGTGGGGGTTTTTTTTAAAAGCATGGTATTAATTCTGCTTTTAAAATGTGTGTTTGCCAAGTAAAAATACAGCATGCCTTAAAATTGTGGGGGGTAGGGGTGGGGAATTACGCAATCTGAGAAAATGATTCTCCTTGCTCACGGCTTCTGCCAAGCAATAAAGCTGATGTAGCAAACAATTTCTTGACTGCCAAAAAGTGAATGTTCTCAATGAAATGTTTTTTCTCCCTTCTCTTCTTAGGCGCCTCATCACAGATTCAAAGGTTAAATTAAAGTACCAGCATTTAATAACTAATAGTTTTGTAGAGGTGAGTGTTATGTTTCAAACTATGCTGAAGAGACAGGCTGTGATTTGAGGGTTTTTGCCCATCTCTTTCTTGTCTTACACAGCAGGCATTTACATGTAGTTTTCATGGTGGGGGTCAGATTTTGTTCAATTGTTGGCAGAGGTTGCTTCCCCCACCCCAATTAACAGGGTTGATCTTACATAGGCTCATACTGATAGAGAGTGTTAAGCTTTTTGTTAATAGGTGGCATGATTTTAGCTAGAATCCTGCTTCAAATACGAAAATACTTTAAGCTGGAATGTTGCTTAATAGCACAGCATTCTGCAGCAGAAATTTGAAATCCCAGTGCCTAATGTAATGGCTATAGACAGCTGTTCAGGAGATTAGAGAAGGTAATAGTTGTTAAAGGCACATTGCTGATTATGTGCCAGGTATTTCAAGCACTCGATTTATAGTCCTTTGAGAACAACTAGGCACAAACTTTTTGTGTCTTCATCAGAACCTAGAGCAGGTACTTCTGAACTGAATCCAGTATTAATGTAGGGTGCTACTTAAGCAGATCTGTTACAACTTTAGAATTGGTGAACCTTTAAGGAAACACAAAAACAGCCTTGCTTGTTGTCCCCTCATTTGTAATAAAAGGATTTTTGAATTCAATTTGTGCAATGCCGGTGAAGCCTAAGCTGAAGAGGACTGAAGAATCACATAAGCCACATGTGACCCTCAATTCAATCTTTGTTAATGTGCCTGCACTGGTGTGACGCTAGGCCACAAAACTGCCAGGGCCCCCTGAGCAGACGACACATGTGAGTGGCCCATATGTGAACATCATGGACCTTTGGCCCCCTAAAAATTAAACCACTTAACATGAAAGATGAGCCATTTCTAAAACTACCTTGTCAAGCTACCTAGCTTATTTTTGAGCTGAAATTGAGATTCTTAAAGCTTTGCCAAAGGGAACAAAATACCTTAGGATGGATGGGTGGCTGTCTTTTAGGCTTAGATTATTACTTTTAGAGTATCTTAATTTGCTTTTGTCATCAGAATGGATTTTCTTATAGGTTGCATTTGTAGTCTTGGTGACAGTTGGGAAGGTTGGTGGGGGACTAAATTGATTATCTGGAGTTGGTTCTATTTAGAAGGTCTTCCTGGGCAACATTGGGGGCCCCCATCTCATTTTCTAACTGATTCTGTGAAATTGGCTTGGCGTATTCTGCTTGGCTGCTGGTGTGGAGGGACAAGGTCTATACCAAAATGAGAATTGTGGCATTTTCCTGTCAAGATTAAACAAAGCTTTGGCTAAAAGGAGACTTCTGGGGAAATGGAAGGGAAATACCACACTTTGATATCTTTAATTCTGGTCAATTTCCAAGTAAGATCTGGTAGCTTTTTATTTTTGCAGTGCAATCGGCTGTTAAAATGGTGTCCTGCTCCAGATTGCCACCATGTTGTTAAAGTTCAGTATCCTGATGCTAAGCCTGTTCGCTGTAAATGTGGCCGTCAGTTTTGGTAAGCAAACATTTCTTGTGTTGGGTTGTAATGATTTTGGATTACTTACCACTAAGCAGAAGGTGGTTCCCGTTTTCTTGAAATGACAAGTTGCCTTGGTAGGCCTATCCGTGCCGACTACCAGCAAGCCAAACACTGCCCGTTTGGGATCTGATAAACTTGAGAGTTTTTGCTTCCTGTCTGGGATTGAAAAATTGAGGTTCTCAAGTACCCGTCAAGCCACATTACCTTGCTGGTATAATGTTTGGCTTAGTAGGTAACAGTTATGGTTGCTTGAATTAGAGCAAACCTCTAAATTTTAGTGTTGCATAACTATAGACTGTGTAATATGTATAAATCTTTTTATTTTTACAGCTTTAACTGTGGTGAAAACTGGCATGATCCTGTTAAATGCAAGGTGAGTGTCTATGGCAGAGTGCTGGAAAAGTAAACTAGCCTTTCTGCTTAAATATCACAGTTGTAGTGTTGTAAAATACTTTGATGATACTTAGCAAGCTATTCAGACATCTTTGCCATGGTTACCTGTTTAGTTTCCCTTAAGTTGTGTGTAATTCACCCTGAACTATTTGACTCTGGGTAACAAGTGTATGAAAGAATAGTCCATCTTGACTGTAACAACAAAATAAGCACTCCTCCCCTTAGTTCAGATCTTTTATTTCCACCTAGAGGGTTTTTGACACAAACATGAAGAAAATCATAGTTGTAAGACATATCCACAATACAGAATTATTTGAAAGTATATTCTGGAATCCTGACGTGTTATCTTGGAGTGTGGGTCTGAATGGGCAAGCCTTGCTTAATAGGATATGATGTGTCCAGTTCAGAGGAGCATGTGAGCCATGAGGTGCAGATGCACATTTCTCTGTGGCCTTTTTCACTTCTTCTCTTGTTTTACAATTCTTTTCTCTCTCTCCTGACAGTGGTTAAAGAAATGGATTAAGAAGTGTGATGATGACAGTGAAACTTCAAACTGGATTGCAGCAAACACAAAGGTTTGGTAGCATCACATTTCTCTTTAAAACATACCGTATTGGCCCAAATATAAGCTGCACCTTTAAAATTCAGAGGCTTGGGAGCCGCGGATGGGCTGCGCACCGTTGCCCCGTGCTCCCGGCAAGGGGGGGGGGCTTTGCCAGCGAATATAAGCTGCACTTTAACTTTTCACAATTGGAATTTGGGGGGAAAGGCTTATATTTGGGCCAATGTTAGATGCTCAAAATTTCACACTTGCAGAGCTGCTTTTCCCTTACAAAGACATAACTGTCAAATCCTGAACTTCCATTGTGAGTAGTGAGGGGTAAGTCCTCCACGTAAATAATGGGCTGTGTTTTCCTATCCCACCCCCCACTTCAAAGTTCACAGTGAAGCCAAACATCAGCACCAAAAGGTACAACAGGCTTCTGTCTAGCTCTACTTAAAATGAAGCTTTTAGAGCTAAATTGAAGGGAGGTGCCAAATTGGCAAACATTGCAGTACTTTATAGATTAAGGAGTACTTACATGTGGTTTGCTGAGGATAGGAATACAGAAAATTGCTTTAGACCAAATCAGACCATTGGTCTTACCTAGCTCAGTATTGCCTATGGAGACTGACTGTGGCTGTCCAGGATTTCAGAGTTTGGCCATTCCCAGCCTTTATGTGGCGATGTGAAGGGTTAGACCTATTACCTTTGGTTTGCAAAACGTGTGCTATTTCACTTCACAACAACCCATCCCTTTATTACGTTCATTCAGTGCATGTGGAACCCAGTCTCAGTGTACTTAAATCAGTAGATATAGAATGTGTTTAATATAAAGTGTCAAAGCTGAGCGTGACACACACACAAACACACACAAAAATGTCCCTTTACTTGCAAATGGCTTCCTATCTAAGCTATCCCATGAACTGGAAGAAGTGCAACTTTTCCTGGCATTGATCTGTTATTTTGTGCTATTATATTGCTATAAGACTACGTTTTCACTACATTGCTAAGGCAGCAATGGGAAGCCAGCTGACAGCTGAATGTGTAACCAGAAGAGCCACTATTGCAAATTCTTTGTAACATCACAAAGCACTGTCTGCATCCCTCCCCATTTTTTTAAAGTTGGAAGACACCCACTTTTATTTCTTTCCACCACTCTTCATACCCGTCACAGGAATGCCCTAAATGCCACGTGACCATAGAAAAGGATGGAGGCTGCAATCACATGGTCTGTCGGAACCAGAATTGTAAAGCAGAGTTCTGCTGGGTGTGTCTTGGCCCCTGGGAACCTCATGGGTCCGCCTGGTAAGTTTAAATGAATTCCTCCCAAGCTTTCTTTATGTGTCTAATTGTACTGCCATGTTTTGTTTCTGTACCCTGCAAAAATAATTTCTGTGGGAGAAAAACACCGAGCAGTAGCTGGTGCATATGTCTATACTACTTAGGGTGAGAAAGGTCTGGGCTGTTTCTTGTTGAGCCTCTGCTCAAGGTATCAGAGGGGCTTATTATCTTTACAGTTATGTACTGACCAAAGAATACTTGGAGCCTCAGAGCGGCAAAAACAAAAGAAGTTCTGGAATCCACTATGCTCATAAAAATCTTTTTTCAGGTACAACTGTAATCGCTATAATGAGGATGATGCAAAGGCAGCAAGAGATGCCCAAGAGGTGAGTCCATAACTCTTGGTGACCAATATTATCAGCTTCAGTAAGATGGTTTGGCCTAGCTTTTCACTGTGCTTGCATTTTCCAATTGAGCACTGCTAGCTTTCAAGCTGAACTCCACAAAACTGTTAGACTTTGACACAAGAGGCCCGCCCATTTTGTTACTGCTTCCTGATGTTGTCCTGGCCAACTTGTAAAACTATCCAGCTTGAGCACTGGTAGCAGTAATCTGAGTATGAATATGCCCAACCCCATATCCTACCAGCCAAACCCTTCTTGGCAGCTGCTTATTGCTGAAAGAGGTTTTCTACCAGATTAATTTATGTATGGATATCATTTCTATCTAGGCAGTTTATTTCACCATGTTGCACTTGGGTAGTTTTGCCACTGCCAATAAGACCTTTCTGCTATGTATTTATATGGAAAAATAAAAATGTTCGTTCATCACATGACCGGGTATATGCAGTTTATCAGGTCCACAAATGTGGCAAGTAGAGAATTGCAACAAAATGAAGTATCAGGGCTCCATGATCCTGTAGCACTGTTTGGGGATTGCAAGGGACTCTTTGTTTTCTTTTCCACCTGCTTAAAACTCTCCTGTGTCACATAGTGCCAACAAGATCAGACTCAAAGCAAAAGCAGTACTGTGGGACTTTGAAATAAGAACATTGTCCTGTTGTGGCCACATTTGCCTTGAGGCCCCTCATTTATAGGGCAAGTCAACCTGCTATTACTCTGTTTTAACTATTGATTTTCTTTTTCCCTAATGGGAATTAACACAGCGATCCAGAGCAGCCCTGCAGAGGTACCTCTTCTACTGCAACCGTTACATGAACCATATGCAGAGCCTGCGCTTTGAGCACAAACTCTATGCCCAAGTCAAGCAGAAAATGGAGGAGATGCAGCAGCACAACATGTCATGGATCGAGGTCCAGTTCCTGAAGAAAGCAGTCGATGTCCTCTGCCAGTGTCGTGCCACACTCATGTACACATATGTCTTTGCCTTCTACCTCAAAAAGAATAATCAGTCCATTATCTTTGAGGTAAGGAGAGTTTACCAGACATTTTTTAACCCAGCTGTTTGGTCCTAGCATAGCGTAATATTCTTGTAGCATCAGATCAAGGCTTCTTTAGTTCAATATTCTGTTCCCATAGTGGCCAACCAGATGCCTAAGGGAATCCCACACATAGAACATGAGCTCAATAGTCCTCTTCCAATCCTTTTTCTTAGTAACCAGCAATCCAGAGCCTTATTACCTCAGATCCTGAAGCTAGTTATAGTAGCTGTTGATGAGTAGCTCAGGTGTATAATTATGGTCCATTGGATGAGTGACTTGTGCAGCCCCTCAATTGGACTTTCTGTAACAACTATGTGATTTTTTTCCAGCGGCTTTGTTCTGAAGGCCTTTTCTGTGATGGCTCCAGAGTTGTGTAGTCCTGTCCGCCACAAACTCTGTGTGTGTTCCTTAGTTAAACAAAAACAATTTCATGCAAGTGCCTGGGGTGATTGGCAATATAGGCTTATTAACTTTGTTGATTATTTACCACATCCCACTTTGCAGCAAAAGTGTCTGCAAGTGATTTACAACTTAATACAATGGCTCACTTCTTTGCAAACTTAAGATGGGGGTGGGCATACATGATACATACATACATACATACAGGCATAATTTCATTTGTACGCTGCCTTTCCACAGATCAGACCCTGCTCAAGGCTGCTGACAACAGGAAAAAATACATAACTAAAATATAAAAGTAGCCATAAACAATAAATAAAACATTAAAAATGCACAACTAAACTGAACAATTTTCACATTAATCGTAAGATTTAAAATAAATATACAACCCCCACCCCCACACACATCAACAACAGGGGGAAAAATTCACAGCAAAACCCCACAAACAGTTCTCCAGCCCAAGAGTCCCTCAGCATCCTCAACTTTTTTTAGCTGGAGTCAGTCTGGGCCCCACCCTCCCAGGCCAGGTGAGAAAGGCCTGCAAGGCAGGGAGCGGGTCCTCCAGGACTCCTTGACAACCTGCAAATCACCAGCATTCTACTGATAGAACCTGATTTGTCTGCTTTCTGGCCTGCCCTGACTAGAGACAGGATGGTGGAAGAAGTAAATGCAAATTCAGCTCTCACAAAACTCGTGTAATGAAATTATATAATGACCAGGTGGAGGGTCACTGCAGGAGGCAGTTCTGAGAGGGGAGGAACACAAAAAGACAGCTGTTTCTAGTTTGTTCTTTGTTTTTATGCACTTTAATTTCACATTGTTGTAAGCCACCTTGCAAAGTGTCCTGTTGAAGAATTCCAATAAACATGGGAAAGGGGTGTTTGTTTGTTTGTTTGTTTGTTTGTTTGTTTGTTTGTTTTAAAAAAAGTTAGCCAGGAATATACCCATAACTATTCAAAAGTCAGTAGTTGTGGAGTTTCTTCAGAATGGTGGGAATCAAAGATACATAACTTGTCAGTAGAGTCTCCTTGCCTTTTGAATGCCTTCTCTAGGTAGGCCTGCTTGGTATCCTCATTACTATCATTTAGGAACTAAGCAAAGTGACAGCAACGAAAAACAACTACCAGATTTAGCTCTTTTGTTAACTTTTAGCAGTTTTGATTTTTACTTTCTACTCCGATAAACTTGCTGTTTTAGTTGGTGTCTCTACAGCTTATTTTCTTTTTTATTGTATTTTAATACCTTATTACTTTGTTAGGCACTCCAGCAATATAAACTTATGTTTATATTGTCTGCCATATTGAGTCAACACGAGATCCCATTGTATCCCAGCATAAACAAAAAGTTGCTTCTTGATCTTAGGAACCATCGTGCAAAATGTGTTCACGGTATCTTAAGAGGTGTCCAAATGCATAGTGAACAGACAAACCACCTTCCAAACACATGCAAATAAATAAATTTCAACTTGCTGTATTACCAAAAGTGCAGTATAGGTACGTTTTGGAGTTATAAAAGGAAGTGTAAGCAAATTCACAATTTAACAAGTAAAAATTGCCTCTCATTCCTTCAGCCTTGCCACAAAGGCAATCTTTAATATTAGATTTCATTTCCTGTGGGATATCAGAACAGGAACAGCCCAAAAAGGTAAACAGTGTTGTCCTTGCTACCTCACCAATTAACAAGTGTAAGGGTGGGGCCCACTTTTAGGAAACTTAACAAGTGCCACAAATGGTGAGTGGAGTCAGAGACAAATGTGTGTGGAGTAACTAATATAGATTTTACCTTATTACAGTGTTAGTTTTTACACACCCACCCACACACCCAATATGCCTCCATCCATAAGAGCAAGAGGCATTATCAGAACTCAAGGGCACATTTGAGTCAGGTGAAAGCACTCAGTGATGCTGTAAAGCAAGATCAGTGAGAGGCATGAGCTGGTGATAATTTTGAGAGCCAGATAGAAAGGCCTGGTTGGTAAATAGGTTTTTTCCTAGCTTATAAAATGCAAAATAATTAACTGCTGGAGCCAATTATAATATAGCTTCCACCTGACTTCCAAGACAGGAGCAGTGAATTGGTCACATAGATAAATGCCCTTAAGAATTGTGATTTCTAAATGGGAAAGAGTAATGGCTGTTGGTCAGAAGTCATGATTGCCCAGAATAACATCTACTTGGTTTGCAACCACAAGATGGTTTTGTCTGCCAGTAGTACTATAGAAGGTGATGGTAAGTTTTCCAATACGTTCGTGTGTTTTCCTGCCTGCTATTCATACAACCAAATGAGAGAACCACTGTAAGACTAGAAAAATATTCAAAGTAGGCTTCAATGAGTATTTGCTAGCAAAAGGGATAAATTCCATTCATGTGGTGATTCTGAATTCAAGGAACTGCTTAAGTTTATTAAAAATGTGCCTTGTATTTTGCCTGCCTAGAATAATCAAGCAGATTTGGAAAATGCTACCGAGGTCCTTTCTGGGTATCTGGAGCGAGATATATCTCAAGATTCACTGCAAGACATAAAGCAGAAAGTGCAAGATAAGTACAGGTATGTTCCTTGTTCAAAACTGATGGATTGTTAATTCATTTCATGTGCCAGTCTCTTAGGCATTAAAGTGGCTTGATTTACAGGAAATGGCTGAGAGAGATTCTGCTGCTTACTCCCAATACAATCTGTGGTGGAGGGAGGCTAGCCAGCTAACTTTCTGTGTTGGCCTTCAACCAGGTTTCCTGATCGACTGCTGCTCTTGAATCAAGCAGCTGGAGACAGCAGCAAGTTGCAGCACATGGGAAAATCAAGTTAGCATGCCCTGTTCACAGGGGCTTCTTGGCTGTTAACATTTTGAATTGTTACCTAGCAAGCAAGTCCTTATTTTTTGCCGGCTCTTGAGCTGAAGGAGGCCACTGACCTCAGGTTGCATGCAATATGGTTTTCTGTTGCTTTAAAGGCCTTTATAAGTGAATGAGAAATTGGCACATGGGACTGGTTTTGTGATACAGTTGTGCCTTAACGTTAAAGGTAAAGGTAAAGGGACCCCCTGACCATTAGGTCCCGTTGCGGACGACTCTGGGGTTGCGGTGCTCATCTTACTTTATTGGCCGAGGGAGCCAGTGTACAGCTTCCGGGTCATGTGTCCAGCATGACTAAGCCGCTTCTGGCGAACCAGAGCAGCGCACGGAAATGCCATTTACCTTCCCACCGGAGCAGTACCTATTTATCTACTTGCACTTTGACGTGCTTTCGAACTGCTAGGTTGGCAGGAGCAGGGACCGAGCAACGGGAGCTCACCCCATTGCGGGGATTCGAACCGCCGACATTATCAGCAAGTCCTAGGCTCTGTGGTTTAACCCACAGCGCCACAAGGGGGTCACAAAAGGTAGTTTTTACACCTACAAGGCATGGTTCCTTTAGTGGGTTTCCTTGGGATAACATTTTTGCAGATGAGGGGTTTAGTTTAGTTTGTGTCGCATGGGAGGAGCACTGTCTCAGCCTACAAAATTCCAGGTTGTAAATATTGCGCCGCCCTCACAGTTAATAGGCTCCACTTTTAAGAAATTGGGCCAAGACCCATGCTTAGCAAATACAGCTTGAGTTCAACTGTCTTAGCATATGATTATATGGTAATAAGTCCTGCCTGCTCTGCTTCAGCGCATAATCTCTCCCACCTGTGAAATTATCCAGATGGGAGGCCCTTTGTCTCTGTTCCCATTCTGAGCAAGGTAAAGGTAGACATTCCCACTGCGAGCCGCTGTTGGCTAAACTATTTCCATGCTGCCTTGAAATGCATTGTGTGCGAAATATTCAGCCTTTGTTTTCTTAAGTGTAACTGTGCGCCCTTCCCCTTGCAGATACTGCGAGAGCCGGCGAAGGGTTTTGTTGCAGCATGTGCATGAAGGCTACGAGAAGGATCTGTGGGAGTATATTGAGGACTGAGACTGGGCTGCATAAAACGAACTCTGAAAACCTTTTACCATCTAGAGTGCTCATGCAATTAAAGCAAAACACACACAAAAAGGGGCACTACGCCTATTACACCGCTGGTCTGTAGTACCGGAATTCTGTTTTTGTTAATGGAAAAAAATTTAAGTAAATTATATTGTAATAAAAAAGGTAGATAAACCATTGTACAACAGTATTCTAGGTGGCCAGTAAGTGTGACAGACGCACTAAGAAAAACAAAACAACCCTCCAACTTTAACTTGTAATGTAGCTTCATTCTCCAAGCTGACTTTCCCCCCCCCCTCCTTCTTTCTCCTATGCGTATTACAGATAAAACTTAAAACAGTTTCTTGACACTGCTTTTCATGTCCAACCAGCCATTTTGATGTACTTTGGTATGAGATTTCCCCCTCCCTCTCCCTTTCTCTACTCTCCCCTCCTCCCCCCACATGCACCAGTTCATGGGTGAATGTTGTTTGGCTTATTGTAAAGAGGATTTGGGGCGGGGGGAGGCGGGGCACACAGCAAGGAAAAACTTTGTATATGACTTTTAAAAAAAACAAAGAGGACAACACAGTATTTTTCAAAATTGTATATAGCGCATATGCATGGACAAAGAGCAAGCGTGGCACGTGTTTGCATAATGTTTAATTACAAAAATATTTATTCTTTAAAAATCTTCAAGATGATGTCTATTTGCTGTGCATTTTTCTTTCATTTTGCTTTTTACCTGAGATTGGGATGGGGGGCAGTGTGTGCTGCTGTAACAAATCTTTCCCTTTCCTTCTCTCTCTCTCTTTCTCTCTCTTTCTTTCTCTGTTTGAGAGATTTTGATTTCCTTCTTCCTCCTCCTGCAGCTCCTTTGCAACTATTCCATGGTTTGGGTGTGTTCATTGCTGGCAACGGACACTGTCCCATTTGCACTTCAGCTTCTGATGCAAACTGGTTTACCTTGGTGTGTGTTTTTAACGTTTGGAAATGAAAGTGTAGTGATTCTGGCTGCTTTGTCTTTTTGCTCAGAATAGCCATCCCTCTTGTCCATTTCCATGCATGTCCAACATTCACCTGACACCCGGATCATCGTCATACATAGGAAGTGTTAGGATTTTTCCTCTGTGGATTGAAGTGCTCAAATGGAACATTCCTTGTTGCTTTGTCTTGTCAGTTGTGAAACACCAAAAAAAGGGAGACGGAGCTCCTCTGGGTCACGTTTTTGCGGCTTGGTTGTTGGAAAAAGTGCCTGATACAGCAAACACTCCATCTAGTTGCAAGGATCTGCAGTCTCTGAAGTCATTGGGGTATTTCCCCTCTCTCCCCACCCCCCCCCACCCCAGTGAGAGGGAAGAGCGAGTTTCATCTACACAGTCCTTTTTTGTAATAAAAGCTATGATAAAGCACCACTTGGAAGCAATTTGTTTAAAATCTGCTCCTGCGTTGTGTGGGTACTTTTCCACGATGGCAGTGTTTTACACTTTCAAGTTGAGAGAGAGAAAAAGTAGATCTGCTAAAGCGGTATTTCAAGCCAGTTTCTGCTGCTCGTTCAAGTAGAGATTGTGGCCCGGATCCAAAGATCTGCTCAGCTAGTTCCATGAGTCCCCAGTGATGGTTTGGCTTGTGTTTCCAGAACAGCAGCCTCCTATGTCAGCTGGCAAAGACTTCTGAAAAGAAGAGGAACTGCAGCAAGCATGTGAAATATTCCTGAGCGCCTGCTCTTGAAAAGAGTAATAAGATTTTGCTGAGCTCTTGGGTTAATCTAATGCTGCCTAGCTTGTTTGTTGAGTAGTACAGCAAGAAGCCGAGCTTTGCATCTGTTCACACGTAATTTGTCTGGCAGGGCTTATTTAGTTGCTTGCTGCCCATCTGCAATGTCCCAAAAGCTGAATCGGGCAGAAGCTATAGAGGGAAGAGGAACTTCAGCTTTGACTTGGTAACATTGCAGTGGAAGATGAGTTCTCGCCTTCAGTGGGGTGTGAATATTTATTCAAAGAATTCCACTCCATTAAACTGAGTGTGGTGCAACTGTTGCTTGGATACTTCTCCTTCTAAGGCTTTCTGTCATGTCTTTTACTATGCTTTTGCACACTGCTGCTCAGACTGAACTTCCAGTCTAGTTAAGATTTCTTTTCCATGTTCTTTTAGCATCTTTGCCTAGAACTGGGCTGATTGGAACAGGCGGCCCTGCTGTGTGGGTGTGTAAATTGGATGAATGTGTTCCATACTTTCAGCATTTCCCCCAGATTTTTTCTCATTTCTAAACACCTTGCTCTTGCCATACCCTCCCCCCGTCCATTTTTTTTTTTAAAAATCCAAAACTGTATATAAATCTGCTGTATCTTCTGCTCCTGAGGATCGTACACTTAATTTTGGAAAACTTTCTAAAACTCTGTGGGCTTTGGAGTGAGATCACTTGAACAGAAGCTCTTGTAAAGGCTTGCTCATCAATCCTAGACAGTTTTCCTCCTCCTCTCCTTTAAGCAGTCTCTTCTTTCCTTAAAAAGCAAATACTTGGCAATGAAGATGCTACTCAAGCTTTGGTTGGTGCAATATGCTTAAATAATGGTTTGTGTTGACTTTATCATGGGCTAATTGAATGAGGGCCTCTAGCCACACACAACAGGAGAGCAGAGCATGGTCTGTATTTAGCACCCACCCTCTTTTCTGTTCCACCTAATTCACTGCAGCTGTTTGGGGTTTTTTGTTTTTTTTTGTAGTGTATGTATCAGACAGTCTTAATTTTCAAAACCATTTAACCCTGAAATGTTTTAGTACAACTGCTGTGTTAAAAAATCAGTTATTGCGTGAGACAAGAGCAGTGCTCTTTGGAGAACCTTTCCATGGACAGGCAGATTTTGTTATTCAGCACTTGGGGGTTGGTATGACAATCGGACTGGGCTGTGAAGGACTGAAGACTTGTAATCTTCTAATTTTTCCATCTAGAGAGCACCTCATGCTGTGGAAATAACTGTTATTAGACTTCATTGTAACTGCTGGACTGTTCCGTGTTAAGGCTAAACAGAGGGAGAGAAAGTGTTCCTAATTCTAATAAACTTTTATTTTGTTATTTCATTAGTTTTTTTGTGTTTGCTTGCAGTAATTTTGTCCTCTAAATTGGAGCAGGCATTTCCTGTCACTGCCTGGTTGTTGTTTTTTAAAGAGCTTGCTGGGTTGGGTGCTCCATCTCCTGAAGTCAGAAATGCTGACAACTCTAGTAGTAGTAGTAGTAATAATAATAATAATAATAATAATAAATAATTTATTATTTGTTCCCCAGCCACTGGGTGGCTTCCAACAAAGATTAAAAATACATTAAAATGTCACACATTAAGAGCTTCCCTGAACAGGGCTGCCTTCAGATGTCTTCTAAATGTCAGGTAGTTGTTTATCTCTTTGACATCTGATGGGAGGGTGTTCCACAGGGCAGACACCACTACCGAGAAAGCCCTCTGCCTGGTCCCCTGCAGCTTTGCTTCTCGCAGTGAGGGAACCACCAGAAGGCCCTTGGCGCTGGACCTCAGTGTCCGGGCAGAACGATGGGGGTGGAGATGCTCCTTCATGTATACAGGGCCGCGGCCGTTTAGGGTTTTAAAGGTCAGCACTAACACTTTGAATTGTGCTCAGAAACGTTTTGGGAGCCAATGTAGGTCTTTCAGGACCGGTGTTATATGGTCTCGGTGGCCACTCTCAGACACCAGTCTAGCTGCCACATTCTGGATTAGTTGTAGTTTCCGGGTCACCTTCAAAGGTAGCCCCACATAGAGCGCATTGCAGTAGTCCAAGCGGGAGATAACCAGAGCATGCACCACTCTGGCGAGACAGTCCGCAGGCAGGTAGGGTCTCAGCCTGCATACGAGATGGAGCTGGTAGACAGCTGCCCGGGATACAGAATTGACCTGCGCCTCCATGGACACCTGTCCAAATGACTCCCAGGCTGTGCACCTGGTCCTTCAGGGGCACAGTTACCCTATTCAGGGCCAGGGAGTCTTCCACACCAGCCCACCCACTGTCCCCCAAGAACAGTACTTTTGTCTTGTCAGGATTCAACCTCAATCCATTAGCCGCCATCCATCCTCCAACCGCCTCCAGGCACTCTCACAGGACCTTCACTTGTTCCGATTTAAAAGAGGTAGAGCTGGGTATCATCCACATATTAGTGGACACCCAGCCCAAACCCCCTGATGATCTCTCCCAGCGGCTGCATGTAGATGTTAAAAAGCATGGGGGAGAGGACAGAAGCCCAAGGCACCCCACAAGTGAGGGCCCAGGGGTCTGAAACCCATCCCCCCCACCACTTTCTGGACACGGCCCCGGAGGAAGGAGCGGAACCGCTGTATAACAGTGCTCCCAGCTCCTCTAGACGCTTAACACATTTGTCTGACTCCACAGTGAGACTTCTAAGGACCATTTTAAGGGGCGGGGGCAGACACAAGTGTGTGATAACAAGTTAGGAAAATGTCCCAGCTTAGAATACGTTTCAGGGAACAGGTAGAGAATGAGCCAGATGGTAGTTTGGATTTGTTTCTGTTCCAGCTGGTGGGATGAAGCCACTGTTGATGTGGGTTTGTTGCCCATATACAAATCTCAACATATCCCCTCACATACATAGATGTACCAACACTCCACAAGTCTGCAGCTCCACTTCCTTGTCTGTGCATGACTGTACTGCTTGACCCACCTGATTTTATCTAGCCCTTCTTCCAAAGAGCTCAGATAACACACTGGATCCCTTCCCTGTAGCTCAGTGGTGGAAAACCTTCTAGATGTTGCTGGACTGCAACTTCCATCGTCCCTGACAGTGTCTTGCTCAAGGTTGTCCAATGAGCCTGCAAGCAGAAGCTGTTGTAAAATGGCCAAACAGAACTAGAACCAGCATTGGGCAGTGAGGCACATTTGAGTATTCAGATATTATATTGCAGTACCTCTGCCCCTCTCTATTTCTATTTTAAATAGCAATATCCAACTACATGACATACAAGTGGTATAACAGGTCCTTACCAAAGAGACTTGCAGTAGATGCAGGTAAACAAACGAGGAAGGAAGAGATGGGTGAGGAAGGGAAGAATATGCAGTTATTTAAATTACATGTACGTTGACAATAACAGTAAAGCACTAGGATCATGAGGGAGTGGCAAGTTGAGGAGGAGGAGGAGGGAAGTGGGTAAGAGGGGACACTAGGAATGAGACCGGGAAGGAGGATGTTCTGTTTTGTGGCAGAAATGTGAAGTCAGTGCAACAGGCATACATAAAATATGTTTTCATAGTAGCTTCCCTCTGAAAACTTTCTCTGGAGCCTCCTCCCCCCCCATCTCTGAAACCTTTCCCACCGATTACAGAAACTGCTCAAATGAAAAGATGCTTGGCATGATGTTTTGTAATGCATTTTGAGGAGAGACTGTATGCTAACGATGAAGCCTTAGAAGAATGACATCTGTGTCCGCCTTTTTCTAGGCAACTAGCAATTTAACTATGACAGTGTGCTCAACACAGTTGGGGACTGTTTCCATAGAAACAGAACCCTTCTGCAATCCATCTTGCTGCTTATAAGGGGAGAAGCATAGCTGTTTTTCATCCACCTTTTTTCATGAGCTTTTAGTCACTTGTTGCACCTGCAGTTCTGAAACTGACTTTAGGTGCAAAGGTGTTGCATCCTGCTTCCTGCCAATTTTGTTAAACGAAAGCAAAATCTAACTTTTATTAGTGTGGTTTAAGAGTATTTGCAATGCAGCCACTGAAAAGTATTTCATTAAAAGCAATTTCCACAAAAGGCTTTAAGTCTTAGTGGAATCCCTGATGTGCTCAATAATTTATGGAATTTGGTGTTTTTAAAAGGCAGTATTTTATATAGATTTAAAATCATTACTTAACCCTTTTAAGTCTGAAGAATACAACTGAAGAATTGTAGATGTGCAAAATTAGGTATTGATCTCATTTTTAAAGTTCCTAGCTTGCATTAATGTATGAACACAAGAATTACCAGTGCTCCAGTTCTGTGAGTGTCATGATGGGCATGATCCAACCCACACAGTTGCTGCAGTACAAAGTGGGTGTAGCCAAACGGAATACAATTTTACTTCACTGCTGATTCTTCCATTTTATATTTGCAATTTCCCTCCCTACTGTTTATAAAAAGTGTGTGCCCCTTTTCTATTAGGTTATGCCATAAGTGTTTTAAACTGTTCATTTGCTCCATTCAAATACTCAATTACAAATACCGACAAGCATCAATAATTAAATTTAGCAGTACTAGTAGATCTCAGTACAACTCAGTACTGTGAGCCTCCCGGTGTTGAGCTAGGGCTCCCATCATCTCTCACTTTTGGCCATGGTGGCTTTGGGGTGATAGGAGCAGGGAGTCTTAACATTTGAAGGGCTGCAGGTGGCTCTTCCCTGCTCTCAAACAATACCTACTTAAATGAAACATGTATTTCTCTGTGTTAAAAATCTTACCCAGATACTGTACTTAAATCCAGTGCTTTTTTCGGAAAAAAATGTTTAGGGGTACTCTCATTTTCCTACTCGTATTGAAATACTGCCCCTCAATGAGGCCAAACTTAGATTCACAAAATGCTTAGGAGTATGTGTACCCCTGCGTCCCCCCAGAAAAAAGCACTGCTTAAATCTACCAGAAATATATTGTGTGTATTATTATGCACGGATGCCCATCTTCGCCTGTGTGCATGCACATGTTTTTCATGGGACAAATGTAGCATTTCATAATTTTTTTCCTGCATGTACAGTTAAAACTTCATACGCAAACCTGCAAGCTAGCGGCTACACTTCATTTCAGGGAACCAGCAACCTGACTGCTCTGTCCTTGTTCTCTCTAGCTGAAAAAGTGTAAGAAACGCCTCAAAGACTATAATATGGCATATGCTGTTGTAGGCTAGAAATCACACTGACGGATGCCTGCGATGTGGCAGTGGGTGGTGAGGAGAGCAAAGTGAAGCCCCAAAGGCCTTATACTCAAAAGTAAAGCAGAATAATATGGTAGAATAGCTTAGGCAAGGAATATCTTTCCTACCACTCCCTGTCAAGACTGGTTATCAGTGCATACTTTTTCATGGTTTTAATGCTCAACGAGCCTTTTACACACACTTCCTCGCCTGCTCTGTTTACCCTCCAGCCTCATGGGAAACTCGAAAGCTAGCTCACTATATTCAAATTATGGTTGCGCCAGTTAATAATAATAATAATAATAATAATAATAATAATAATAATAATAATTTATACCCCGCCCTCCCCAGCCAAGGCCAGGCTCAGGGCGGCTAACAAGCAATAATAAAAACAAGTCGAATGAATACAACTTAAAACCAAGATTAAAATACAACATTAAAATATTGAAACATTAAAATGTTAAAATGCAGCCTCATCACAGGTGGAGAAAGGAAAAAGGAAAAAGAAAGACATTGCCTTTCCCCCTTATGAGTTAAAACAGGCTGCGTACTGTTTCCTTTTTAAAATATCCCAGTGTTGGGTTTTGTCTTGTTTTTTAAAATAGTCTTAAAACCCCGATAGCTAGCACTGTAAATAGAAAATTAACAGCGCTTTCCCCACGTGCACTAGTTTTCTAGCTGCAGGGATGTGGTGGGGTATTATCTTTTTTAAAAAATGCAAAAGGGGAATTAAAAATATGATTTCCCCCGAAAAGTTAGCACTGTAAATAGAAAATTAACAGCGCTTTCCCCTCTTGCACTAGTTTTCTAGCTGCAGGGATGTGGTGGGGTATTAACTATTTTTTAAAAAATACAAAATATGATTCCCACCCACTCCGAAGTGGTACAGTCCATTTTACGGCTGCGCGTTCTACAAGACTTCGCTGGGAAAGGTCCATTTGCGAAAACTGGGAGGGGGGAGGAGCTTATTATGTCGCGGCCGCGCCTCCCCTCCATCTTCCCGACAGGCCTCGCGGCGGCCGCTGACGTAAAATCCTGTTTGTCGGGGGGCGGGACCGAGGAGAGCCATGGTTACCGCGGCAACAGCATCCGGGTTCCTCGCGCGGCGCGGGGGAACCTTCCGCGTCGTCTGGTAACCATAGCAACAAGCGGCTTGCCGGGCCTGGTTGAGAAACTGAGGCGCCATGGCGGAGGTGGCCGTGCGACCGGTGAGCGAGGGGGTCCTGTATTCTCGTCTCTGGCCACCTTTGCCTTCACTCCCCGTTTCCCTCACGTTCCCCTTGGGAAGCGGTCGGGGTCCTTCCCTCAGAGCCCGCGCGGCCTGGTTGCTACCAGAAAGCCTGGCTTGGAAACAGGCAGGCGCCGGTGCTCCTTTTCCTCCCCGTCACGTGTAGATATTGGGGTTGGTGAGGGGGGGTCTTCAGCACCGGCCTCCGAGGGGGCTCCCTGCTTGCTTGCCTACCCGGCCTTCGCACCCCCAGATTCCTTCACAACGTGGCATTCCTGCCTGGCGCGGGGTTGGACTAGATGACCCTTGTGGGGGGTTCCCTTCCGGCTCCAGGATGTTATAATCCTTATTGATATAAGCACTGCCGGTGGCGCTTTGGCGCAGGGATAATAAGGGCAAGGCTGCAAGCTTTCGCGATTTGCTCCGAGCGTCAAGAATCAGTGCCGGATTTACGTATAAGCTCAACAAGCCATAGCTTAGGATCCTCCGGTCTTGGGGACCCCCAAAAAATTAAAAGGAAAAAAAAATATGGATGCACGTTTCCAAAATATAAGATAAAAAAACAAAATAAAACCTTCACTGTTTACGTATAAGCTCAACAAGCCATAGCTTAGGGCCCCCCGGTCTTGGGGACCCCCAAAAAATTAAAAGGGGAAAAAATGGATGTACGTTTCCAAAATAGAAGATAAAAAACAAATAAAATAAAACCTTCAATTATTATTTATTTATTATCTGGCCTGGTTCTAATATATCTTTACAATAGCCCTTTGAACTCGGCATCCTCTCCATATTGTCAGTGGTGGGGGAAAGAGGAAAAAGAGAGTGAGTGGCCCAAGGTAATCCTAAGCTTTGCAGGGATTCTCAATGTTCTAATCCTTACATCAGTTCCCGGTTTTCATCACATACAGTTCCCATCAGCTTCAGCCCGCATGGCCAATGGCCAGGGGTTATGGGAGTTGTAGTCCAGAACATCTGGAATGCACCAGGCTACCTTCCCCTTGTATAGAGAATAATTGAGGGGGTTGGGAATCTCAGCAGTAGCTGCAATTTATTTATTAAAGTATGTGTAGTATGCACCTCATAACAAAATCCTAGGGTACAAGAAGATTTATAAAAGAGATAGAATACAGTGGTACCTCAGGTTACAGACGCTTCAGATTACAGACTCCTCTAACGCAGAAATAGTACCTCGGGTTAAGAACTTTGCTTCAGGATGAGAACAGAAATTGAGCAGCGGCAGTGTCAGGCCCCATTAGCTAAAGTGGTACCTCAGGTTAAGATCAGTTTCAGGTTAAGAACGGACCTCCGGAACGAATTAAGTTCTTAACCCGAGGTACCACTGTACCCCTAAAAACAATACAGAATGATGATTTTAAAGGTACCTTTTTATGGCAATGTGCTCTAACATTAGATTTGTTAAAATAACCTCCAGTACATCACTTCAAAGGACATGATTCACTGGTGTTAATTTTTTGGTGGTCACAGCTGGAGAATATAGTTAGAACCAAGATTCTTTATGGTACATTCCAGGAATTTTAGTTGCTCTTTTAATGGTGGTTTCAGCTCAGCATTTCACGTTTGACAGAAGATTTTGATCTGCAAGGTTGTCTTGCTCTATTTGACTATATTTGGTAGTACATTGAGAAAGTTTTGATGTCTTGGTTGCAGAATGATTTTGTACATTGGATTTTTTTTACCAAAGTACCTTCATTATCCAGCACTGCTACATCATTGCCCCAGGTTGCTATTAATTTAAAGTAAATACTTTTGTTTTTCCATTAACTGTTGCAGGCAGTAGTGTTTAAAAGCAGCAATTCTAAGAATAAAATAATGTGACATAAAGCTTTCCTCCTGGGCAGACACACATGGATCATGATGAATAACCTCCTTTGTCTTCATAGCTGTACTCTGTGTCTCAGCAGTTTGCCTGAAAGCTGTCAGGGAACTGCCATCGGAAAGACAGGAGGTGGAAAGGCTCCCGGAGGTTGAGAGAGACTTAGCAGCTGGAGAGGGAACCAGCAGGGGGAGAGGAGGGGCTCCAGGGGAAAGTGAGTCGGAGGGATGGCTCAGAGACACTTCCAGCGAAAACAGTGGGGAGGTTTCAAGACCTCCTATAGGGACACCCACTCCTCGCCGGAAACTGTCACGCCGAGAGTCCAGAAGACGTGTTTCCGTTAAGGAGCTTTTATGCTGGAAGAGATTCCGTAAGAGACCACTTTCGGATTCTGCTAGCGACTGACGCAGCCATGCTGGAGGGGCTCCGTCGCAGGCAGAGGTTTGAGGACTTGACCAAACTCTGAGGGACTTGCATTTTACGCACAAGCAGCTCATTATCCCATCACAAAAGCGTACAACATTAATTTATTGAATGAATTTGTGTGCTACTCTTCAGGTAAAAACCACAGGGTGGCTAAGAAAATACACTTAAGTACATAATAACAATGTAAAATGTCATAAAACATTAGCAGAGGAATTAAAAGCAGATGGCTAGATTAAAGCTTAAAAAGCATGGAGAAACAATAATATCTTTCTTCATTGGGCACAAAAAAGACATCATTATTGGCACCAGTTGAGGCTTCCTGGACAGAGCGTTCCAGGGGTCTGAGGGCCACAGCTCAAATGACCCTCTTGTGGATCACCACTTGCCTCAGGTTTCTAGCAGAGGGACCCAAAGGAGGGTGTCCAAAGAAGATCCCAGAAATCAGGCAGATGTATGTGTCCAGGTGGTGGTTCTTAATGTATCCTGGCCTTAACCAATGTATGGTTTTAAAGGTTCAGCTAGCATCTTGAACAGAACCCAGATGTTTACTCTGTGAAACTGTTTTAAGACTAGCAACATACATCTGTCTCAGTTACCGTATTTTTCGCACCATAGGACGCACTTTTTCCCTCCTAAAAAGCAAGGGAAAATGTGTGTGCGTCCTATGGAGCGAATGCAGGCTTTCGCTGAAGCCTGGAGAGTGAGAGGGGTCGGTGCGCACCGACCCCTCTCGCTCTCCAGGCTTCAGGAAGCTATCCGCTAGCCGTGGGAGACCCAGCTCTCCCACGGCTAGCGGAGCGCTGCATTAATCCGAAGCTTGGGGCGCGCGGAGCTCAGCGCGCCCCAAGCTTCTGGGTGCCCGGCAAGGTCTCGCTAGCCCTGGGAGAGCCCTGCGACGTCCGCAACCGGCTCTCCAGGGCTAGCGAAGCCGCTTGCGCTAATCCCGAGCTTGGGGCGTGCAGAGCCCAGCGCGCCCCACAGCTTCTGGGTGCCGGCAAGGTCCTCCGCTAGCCCTGGGAGAGCCCCGCGACGTCCGCGCGGCTCTCCCACGGCTAGGCGGACCGCTGCGCTAATTCGAGCTATGGGGCCGGTGGCGAGCTCAGCGCGCCCCAAGCTTCTGGGGCGCCTGGCAAGGTCTCGCTAGGCCCTGGGAGAGCCTGCGGGACGTTTGCGTGGCTCTCCAGGGCTAGCGAAGCGCCGCGCTAATCCCGAAGCTGGGGCGCGCGGAGCTCAGCGCGCCCCAAGCTTCTGTCGGCGGTCGCTAGCCTGGAGAGCCCGCGAGCTACGCCTCCCGGCTAAGCGCTGCGCAAGGAGTTGGGGCGGCAGAGCTCACGCGCCCCAAGCTTCTGGGTGCCGCAAGGTCTCCGCTAGCCCTGGGAGAGCCCCGCGACGTCGGGCTCTCCACGGCTAGCGGACCGCCGCGCTAATCCCGAAGCTTGGGGCGCGCGGAGCTCAGCGCGCCCCAAGCTTCTGGGTGCCGGCAAGATCTCGCTAGCCCTGGAGAGCCCGCGACGTTGCGTGCTCTCCAGGGCTAGCGAGCGCCGCGCTAATCCCGAAGCTTGGGGCTTCGGGATTAGCGCTCCGCTAGCCGTGTCTAGGCTGCGGATAGCAGCCTGCTTCCCGGAGCGCCGGGCGCCCTGAAAGCAGAGCTCCAGGCGCTTCGGGAACACATCCGCAGCGTGGGGAGCCTTGCAGGAATTCCTCACAGGGCTCCCCACGCTGCGGATAGCAGCCTGCTGCCTGGCGGGTGGGGCGCCCTGAAGCAGAGCGCCCCTTGCGCCAGGCAGACATCCGCAGAGTGGGGAGGCTTGCAGGAGTTCCCCACAGGGCTCCCCACGCTGCCGATAGCAGCCTGCTGCCTGGCGGGTGGGGCGCCCTGAAGCAGAGCGCCCCTCGCGCCAGGCATACATCCGCAGAGTGGGGAGCCTTGCAGGAGTTCCCCACAGGGCTCCCCACGCTGCGGATAGCAGCCTGCTGCCTGGCGGGTGGGGCGCCCTGAAGCAGAGCTCCCCGCCCGCCGGACAGACATCGGCCAGCCCCACAAGCTTGGGGGACAGCAGGGAGGCGCAGCGCCACTATCCCGCTGTTCCTCGACCTGGTTCGGTTTCCCTGACCTGCTTTTGGGGGGAAATAAAGGGGAAATTTTTTTCCTTTATTTCCCCCCCAAAAAACTAGGTGCGTCCTATGGTCCGGTGCGTCCAATCGTGCGAAAAATACGGTAGTACAAAATACAGCTGTTAGGTCTGGGGTCCCAAAACTAAGGCCCATGGGCCAGATAAGGCCCGAAGGACTCTTTATCCGACCCGCAGCAACCCCTGCCGCCCGCTGCCACCGCCCGCCCTTACCGGCGCTGCCCACTTCCGGCTCGGAGGAGGACCGGAAATAGCTTGTGCAAGCATTATTTCCAGTGCACATCCGGGTCAGAGGAGGCCCGTGCACATGTGCACAAATTATTTCCGATGCTCCTCCAACCGGGAAGTGCGCCGGAAATAGCGTGTGTGCACGCTTATGGGCACACGCTCCCCCGCTCTCTGGCCCGCCATTCGATTGGCACTGGAGACATGTGCCCGAGGTGCGGTAAGTTTGCTGACCCCTGTGCTAGGTTACCAACTGTATTTTTTCCAAACTATGTAGGCAGCCCAACATAAAACTTTAATGCAGCTGGGACATTATCACAACATTAAAAAATTGTGGCTGCTTTTCTTTGTCTAGGAGAGGCC